GATTCTGTGAAATGCTACTTGTTTGTTTGACAAAATGATATGATTCTTCGGTTTGTTTTAGATGAAAATCACACAGTTTGCTAATATATGTTTGAGAAGATGCATATAGAGTTTCCTTGCATCTGTGTTGTTCTTGATGAAAAGATATTGAAAATATTAAGCTGGGGTCTTGCCACCATCATTGGTGAGGCTATATATATATATGTGTGTGTGTGTGTGTGTGTTTATAAACTGGTTTAGGTAGCCATCGAGTTCTGTGACAAGTATTTTGAATCTATCAAATTTCAGTACACTCATGATTCATAGAACTTAGAGGCTTTTGTTTTTTCTTCTTTTTCTTTAAAAGAAACACAATTTGCCTGTAAACTCACTAATAAAACTAGAAAGCATGACCACTTCACTAGAATTCAATCACCATTCTCAAAAGTTTTCCAAAGCATATGAACAGTTAATCTGCAGAATCAATTATCCTTGAAGAACATGCGTGGGTGCGATGGCCATCAAATGAACTAATTAAAACGAGTAGTAGTACATTTAGAAGATGGGGTCCTAGGCTCAGAAAGCAAGATTTTTAGACGTTAGAATTAATGTACAAATTGTCTTCAAATGTGAAAAATGCACTCCAAAATGTCTCCTTCTTCGACTACAGAAGCTTTATCAAGGACACATAATAAACTGCAAAACAAAAACCCTAGGTATCATTTTTCAAGCCCAGAAGATTTTTCACACTCCTTGCCTGGGGTCCCAAATCCCTTGTCTTTGCCTCCTATTTCGAACTCCCGTAACCCCATTTCTTCCCTTCAATTTTTGCCTTTTGTGTAACACATGTTAGATGCTATATTTGAATTCCAAAATTTAGATCTTTTAGTCAACATGCTAAAACACGAGTTTACAAATTATTAAATATTAACTTGTTTCTCAAACCCTCACTGAATTTGATGAGAATAGTAATACCAATGGTTAGAAAAAGTCAAGATATAGCCGAACACTGATCTGTAAAGCTGATGAATTATTCTCATAGCTCCTGATAACGACAATTGATGCTTCATAAATTTTCTTGATTTTTCTCTTAGACCAATGCACATATCATTGTATACGTAAGACAATTTCTATGACATGCTTTAACTAAAGGGGTAGCTACAAAAACTGTTTAAAATAATTCAAACATTGGTGATGAGAAAGTGTGTGAAAAGAATCACCAAATCCATGGTAAACGTAGAACTCAGAAGAAAAAGTGAATGTACTACTGCAGAGTGCGGACAACTTAATTATAATTTTTCTTAATTAGTTGGATTAATAAGCGTAATCTCCTCTGCACCACTAGTTTAATTATGGTTAATTCATAACTAAGCAACGCTTTTTGGGGGAGGAAGTTCGCGGTCAAACCTACGGCAGTCCCACCAGCTGTCATCATTTTGTCTGTGCGTCAAATCCCCATGGATTCTAGATGTTCTAAGAAGAACTTAATTTAGCTGTCTGTAAAACTAGTAATGTCAAAGATTACTTATATACAGTATTCTCCATGTTCAATATCTAAATCAAGATAATCAAGATAAATACAAAACATAACTGTGAGCTGTGGAAGAAATTTGTATACAATTTTGGAAGGTCTTCTGTCAGATAAATAGATAATACTTAATGGTCAATGTTTGTAAGCAATTTTCTTCAAAATTCCTTTAACCAAAGTTTAAATTCATGGTTTTTAGTGAAGGAAGATGGCCATTCAACAACAGATCCTATAGAGTGGGTGGCGATATGTCTGTTTAGGTTAAGGGTGCAACAGGACAGAAATGGCATAAGGTCATTGAGGTGGGGCATATACAAAGAAATCTTGTATTGTCTGATAAGCCAAATTGCAAAAAAGTAACAAGAAATGACCTGATAAATTGACAGGCCAGCTGCATTACCAAACAAAATTGCACAAATTAACATGCAAAACTTAAATGTCAGATGGGAGCCTTAGTTTAAGAGTACCCAGTTTAATATTTTTATAAAATCTTACATAAGATAATAACATTTCAACATAATTGTTCTTTACTGGTTCACATGGTGATCAATCAACTCCAGGACCTGTAATGCTGGCAAGCATTTCATGAATATACATACCATGACAAAACTTTCATGAATATACGTACCATGACAAAACTTTCAATCTAGGTTTGTCCATCTAGTGAGCCATTATTGATAATGTTTTGACGTATTAAAAGTTTCTGTAAACATTCAGTGAGTAAATGAAAGCTGAAATTTTCTGCAGAAGAAGTTAATAAATTTGAATTCTGGAATAAGTAAATAACATCAAGTGGACTTGAACTTCCAAGATGAGGAGTACTTCAGCTTTTCTGTGCATTGTATTGATTTAAGTTTGGAAAGTATCTCTAACAATTCCTGTGAACCTCAATAATTTTGTTTGTGGATTATTCAGGTGGGACAGCTGCAGCTGCAAGACACATCAAAACATGAAGTTTGGCACTTTCAATGGCAACAAAAGAACATTTGCCTCCAGTAAGGAAATTATGGCACGCAACAGCTAGTAATTAAAGTGGAGTGAGTAGGCATCAGTAGAACCCTATGAAGCTGAGGCTTCAAACTGTCTTATGATTCATTCTTTTTTGAAGTGTGACCCTGCAAAGAATGAGGAGTAGAAGAAGGCATTATAACAAGGAAGCTGAGGCTCCAACCCTTTGATCATATATAAGAGAAAATAATTTTGTCTTGTGCACATACAGTATTAAGTTTGCCAAATACTTTTAATTATATCAAATATCAATACATTAATCCATGAAGATCAAAACCATTTTTATTTTATATTTATTTGGTGTTAAAGAAAATACATAAATGCTTTTCGAAATTGAAAAATTATCTAAATTAAATACATTTAAAAAAAAAAGACTCAAGTTAAGAGATGCTACTTTATCTAGGGGTGTTCAAAAAAATGCAAAAACCGAACCGAACCGCTAACCGAACCGAAAAACCGGTTAACCAAAAAAACGGTTCCATTATGGTTTGAAAAATTCAAAAAACCAAATTTTCGGTTCGGGAGAAATTAGAAACGGTTAACTAAAAACTAGTTTTCTAAACCGGTTTTTCAAATATATATATATTAAATAAATAAATAATAACGTAAACTCTAATTCACTTAATCTAAAATCCCAACCCAAATTTTTTTTCTTAGTTCCCAATGTATTGTCTATATTTACAATTTAATTTAGGACAAAATTAAAAAAAAAAAAGTTTTATAAAAAAAAAGGGAAAACCAGTTCAAAACCGGTTAACCACTTTTTTTTAAAACGGTTAACTGGTTTTTCGGTTAACCAAAAAACCGGTTCGGTTTCGGTTCAGAAATTTTCCCGAACCGAAAATCCGATTCGGTTAACCGCTTTTGAACACCCCTTTATCAAATACTTTTCAAATTAAAATATAGTTTTGGTCAATTTTATTTCTCATAATGTCTTTTAGATTTGATTTTGGTAAGTTGTGGGACAATGTGACTCCTGACACCGCTCTTAAATTATCGAGCAAACGACTTTTTCCGACCGAAGGGTTTGCCTTAATGACCTTTTCCATCCAAAAAGTTTTAAAATACCACTTTCCCACTTAAAGTTTATATTATGATCAATCGCCAGCTGATTCTGACATCTTTGCAACCCTACACGATCATTATTTTCTTTCCCAATCATCACTTACTAAAACCCCTTAAACTTTTCTCTTGTCGACCCTGCCAATCGTCGACAATCGAGTGATTTGTGGAATGGGTAGCTGCTCCTCCCAAGTCAGATTTCGATCAATCTCGACTACCAAAATTCAACTTACCACCACTAAAAAACTCACCAACGTCCCCTCTTCAAAAACCCTAATAGTCTGGACCGAGTTTACTCTCTATTGTCTGTCGAATCGGAAAGTGTATTCTAGATAGTAAACGGAATATAAACTTTGGGTGAGAAAGTGATATTTCGAAATTTTTTGGGTGGAAAAGTGTCATTAAAGCAAACCTTTGGTGGGAAAAATTGTTTACTCTAAATTATCCTCTAATACTTTTTGGGAATTATGAAATATTTAAAATAGTTAGAAAGTGATGGGCATGTTTGGTTTATTATTTCTCCCATATTCCCAATCCTATTCTCCAAATAATGTTGGACACATTATTCCAGAAATATTACCCTATTTTTTAATTACTTTTAGACCCCATAAGGTTATTAATTTTATTAAATACCCCCTGAAAAAAAAAGTTTAACAATTAACAAAAACACTCCCGTGACCCATACTTGCCAGATTCCGGCAACCACCGTCGGTGGTAGCCGGAATCTGCCACAACAGTAAATTACCGACCGGAATTGGCCGGTAATTCACCGATCTGGCTGTCAACAACTGCCAAAGAAATGGTCGGGCCAAATCTTAGCCATCGTTGACCAAAAACGACGGCCAAAGATGGCCATTGTTTTGGCCTTTTTCGGCCGTCGACGACCACAGAAGACCATAGATCTGGCCTTTTCCGGCCAGATTCGTGGTGGATCTGGCCGGAAAAGGCCATAACGACGCGTTACGACACAGATCCGGCCGGTCTGTGTCGTAACACGATTTTCTGGCCAGATTCCGGCGGTAGTGGCCAGATTCCGGCAGTAGTGGCCAGAATCTAACACTGCAGGTGGTGGGGGTATTTTTATCATTTTATATGTTGGTGTGTTTAATTAAATTAGTAAACTTATGGGCTTTTTTATAAATTTCTAAATTTTACCTCGTAATACTCCTCTATTCAACTACCCAATATTATTCTTAAAATCCTATCCAAAATAATAAATCAAACGCACGCAATAATATTACTAATTAATAATTTAATAGTATCCAATATTATATTTTAATATTATAATATTTTTTGGGGTTTAGTAATCACATGTCTAAATATGAAAATACTCAATTTTTGTCTCTTCTCCTAAAAATAAAATTAAATTAAAAAAAAAAAAAAAAAAAGACTAAAAAAGCAAGCAAACTTCTCTTTACCATCCAAAAGATCCTCTATTCCAATAAATTGGAAATGTGAAGCCATTTAAAAATCAAACCCTACCCTCGAAATCGTGGATTTGGAGCTCTAAAAGAAAACAACTCAAATTGTTCAAAATCATGGCTACATTTCCAACTCCAGGATTCCCCTTATCAATTCGCCTTATAATTCTTCAATTTCTAACCCTAACTGCAGTTCCCATTGCCTCAATGTCTCTGCAAACCCTAACTAATAACCCCCATTTCGATCGCGAAACTACTCTTCTTGGTGACGCCCAGATCGTTGAAGACAAATCCCACGTGCAGCTTGTGAACCCAGTGGCTTCAAGTTCTGGTATTTTGATCCACAGCAAGCCATTCAAGTTTCTTGATCCAAAGGGCTCTAAACCGACGTCATTTTCGACGGAATTCTCGTTTTCGATATCTCACGGTAATGGTGATGGCATTGCTTTTGTTGTTTTTCCCTATAACTCTGAATTTAAATTTGTGGGTCAAGGCTCATTTGGGGTTTTTAGTGAGCAAAAGTATTTGGGTATTGAATATGACACTAAAATGGATGGTAATGTAGGTGATTTGAATGCAAATCATGTGGGTATTGATGTTAATAGTCTTGTTTCAAAGACTGTTAGTAATATTTCATCGTTAAATATGGTGTTAAACAATGGGGAAAAGCTTAAATCTTGGATTGATTATGATTCGAGCTCAAAAAGGATTGAAGTTAGGTTGAGCAAATTCGGTGAGAGAAGGCCTTATTATCCCATTGTTGCGCATGAGATAGATTTAGTTAAAATGTGGGGAAATCAAGATGTTTTTGTAGGTATAGTTGGAAGCAATGGCAATTCAGAGCAAACTAGTAGTGTTTATTCCTGGAACTTTAGGTTGAGAAACTTTCCGTATTGGTTGCATTCATTGCCGGTGGATCCACGGGCTCATGAGCATGGTGATAGGTTTAGAAATCATAAGAGGGGTATTTGTCCTCTTAAATTTCTTGCTGGCTTGATTTTTGCAACCGGTTGTGGAGCTTTGTTGGCATTCGTGGTGCTATTTGCCTGGGCAATTGTGAGTAGACAGACAGAACTACCTACTGAGTATCATGTGCATCCGGTGGATTTCAAGTATGAGAAGATTGCTGTAATAGTAGAGGAAGATGGTAAAGGTGTTAAGAATTAGAACATGGAAGTATATGATGTTTTGTTGTGACTTTATGTTCTTGTTATCATTACTAACTACAATGAACTATGAAGTTCTTGTTGTGCAGCTTGTAGTCCCCCGTGAACTATCTTTTTGATGTATAATGAAGTGTATGATCACTTGCAATTATTTAATTGTTGTTGTGGTTGGTAGATTTTGCATGATTCTCTTCTAATGATTGACTGTTAGTTATAGTATGAAGAACCAAGTAATGAGATACTTATCTGGGCAAGGGCAAGGAGTTGAGGAACAGAGGCTAGGCTGAGGGAAATTGCTATGGAGCAAACTCAGTATAAGCATATGTATAGCCATGATAGTATATAGATAAATAAATTTGTCTTGAAAGCATTGAGCATCCAAGTGAATAGGGGTCCTTGTTGTCAATATCTGGTTATGTTTGTCTGTGAGGACATTTTATTATTCATATGTCAGACAACTTAGCACCTGTTTTAAGTAAAATTGGTCTAAATGTTATGTAATTAGTTATAAGTTTTAAATCCTTGCGGCTTGGCACTTTCGTTTCCTTCTTGAATCTTCTTTAGGGGTAATGTTGCTAGCAGCATCACAAATATATTTTCTCTGCAAGGAGACAAGGAGTAGCATGCTGAACATTGTTGACCGATTCCCATGACACTAAATCGTGTGTAAGAATCTTGTCCACTTAGGCCACCAGGGGCTGTTTATATGGGTTGTAAGACTATATCCTTACTCCTGCACCAGGGGCTGTTTATATGGGTTGTAAGACTATATTCATACTCCTGCAGCAGGGGATGTTTATATGAGTTGTAAGACTATATCCTTACTCCACCAGGGACTGTTTATATGGGTTGTAAGACTGCCCTTAATCCTCTGTATGTTCAGTTACCTATTCAGATTGCACGTTGATTTTGACATGTTTGGGCGTTGAACTTTTGTTATCCCAGTTTACTAAACAGGTTATTGAGATAGAGGGTCCGTAGAGGAGTTTTATGTCCCATCATTGCTTAAAGAATGTTCATTTTGGCTCATCCTATATAATACTAAGTCATTTCGAATATAAACATTGAAATCGAGAGGCTGTCTTGTAATAAAGCATCTAGCCCACGAACTGAGTTCATCCCAAAGACAAAAAATATCTGGACTACTGCCTATTAGCTATGCCTTGTCTTTTTTATTCATGCTAATATCTGGCTCTTTGAAAACCCCTAAATAAAAATATGTGAATGTTCTTGTTTCCACACGAAATATTGTTCTATATTCTTCTTTTAATGTTGACAGGTCACAGATACTGACAGCCCAACCACCTACTCGCAAGTAATAACTCTAATCTCTATCTCAATCTCATCTCCATGCTGAGTTTAGATTGAAGTAAACTTTTGTCAGGTCCTCTTTCTATGCAAAAATGCAATCTCCTGAACACAACAGATCAAACGGTTTTGGGCCAACGGATATTCTCACGCAAAAGCTATTTGCGCAAAAGGGTAGTCACAGTCTGTATAAAATAATGAGACATGTTGCATCCACCATTAAGAGTTGGGTGTGAATCAAATTCTGTTTCTTCTCTTTTGAAATGAGTATAAAAGTATCAGAAAATTCAGTCTTTTGACTCTTTTCTAATTGGTTTTACCTTTATATATCATTAAGGAATCATTTCCACTTGGTAAAGAAAGCTATTTATTCATGCCCATTTTCAATGGCCAATATGGGCTGACACTGACTCTGCATTCTCAATTCTCAATAAAGCTAAAGTTTTTCAGATATTTTTTTTTTTTTTTTTTTGGGAAGTACAAGGTGAGATGAACAATAAATGCCCAAATTTAACTGCTTCCATTAACATTCTTCTGTGCGGTCCACAGGTCGTCAGGTCCAGTCCTTCTCCGCTTAGAATCTCTAAATATGTGTGCCCAAGAAAAGAAATTAACCATTTACTGCGAATAAGCAATTAATGGCTAATTAAATTCCTAACAACAGAACAATCAATTCAACTACCATTAAATGCACATTTAATAATCCTTCTGTCATTTAATGCTTATATATTGTTATAGGACGCAACATATTTTGAAAGACTAAGAATAAATTAAGTTTTAGAAAAAATAAGGGTTGGTAGATAATCAAATCATTATGTAAATGGTAGAATTCGTAAACAAGCAGAGTTGAGACGTAACTTCTCACTGGTGAATCCATAACAGACCCCACCAAACACCCACCACAGCCGTCTGATGAAAACTTCTATTAGATTCTACCATAATCGAATGTCTGAGATAAGGCATCACAAAATGGGTCCATGAAACTCGGGCTGACTTAACAAAAAAGAGATCCAGCGAATCCTGGGAAGTATACCAAACGTGGGAAAGAACATCAACTTATTAAGCAACAAAATAAAACAAGCCAATGAAGAAAATTGCTTTTTGTTATTTGCTGTCTGATTCTCTCTGTAAGTGTGAACTTGAGAAAAAAATAAGGGGCCAAAAAGGAAAAAAAAATTACCCTGTTTTTTTTCAAATTTGGAAGAGTTAAGAGGTTGTCATTAATTAGTGCACGATTTTGCATGAATATAGTTGCGTATATAAATAGGAGAGTTGTGAAGAAAACAGGCTGGCGGTGTTAAATATAATTGAAGAGGAAGAAAGTTTTGCGCTCATGGTTGGGGAAAGAGACCAAGAGCAGAAAATGGAGGGTGGTAACAGTAGTGAAGTAGTGGATTCTTATAATGGGAAAGTGCATGATGATGAGGTTCCGGAAACTGCCCATCAGATTAGTACTGGTTAGTATTACCATTTTTAATTTTTCTGGGTTGTTTTTGTTTCAGCACTTTGCCTTGTTTATTTTATTTTATTTTATTTTCTGGGTTTGTTTGATTGAAATTGTGTGTTCTTTATAATGATACCCTTTTTTAAATGTGCAAGTTGAAACTTTTATTGAAAAATATTGAGACTCTGTTTTCGCAGTTTATCTTGTTCTGTTTGACGGAGTTTAATTTGGATTTGGAAAGTGGNAACAGTAGTGAAGTAGTGGATTCTTATAATGGGAAAGTGCATGATGATGAGGTTCCGGAAACTGCCCATCAGATTAGTACTGGTTAGTATTACCATTTTTAATTTTTCTGGGTTGTTTTTGTTTCAGCACTTTGCCTTGTTTATTTTATTTTATTTTATTTTCTGGGTTTGTTTGATTGAAATTGTGTGTTCTTTATAATGATACCCTTTTTTAAATGTGTAAGTTGAAACTTTTATTGAAAAATATTGAGACTCTGTTTTCGCAGTTTATCTTGTTCTGTTTGACGGAGTTTAATTTGGATTTGGAAAGTGGGAATTGTGTTTTCTTCATACTCTTTACAGAATGAATGGGTTTGGTGATGTGAAAGTTGAAACTTTATTGAAGAAATGGAGATTTTGTCTGATTGGTTCTGAAAAGGGATTGAAAGAACGTTTTATTTTCTGGGAACAAAAATGAGATTATTATTTTTTTGGTTAATTGAAAGATATCTTTTTTCTATTTGGTGGAAGTGCGTGCGGTTGGATTATCTGGGACTGAAGAAGGAGGGGTTTAATTGATGACTTTTTGTTGGAGACTTTATTTAGATCACGATTTGTAAGATTTTTTGTGGCTTGTTGTGTGAAATTTACATGCTTGATGGGGGTTTATTTGTGGTTTACTAGATGAAAATGGTAACCTAAAATTCATCACTTTGTTTTTTATACATCTTATCTGTAATGTATCTCATCGTGCTGACCTTCCTTGAAAATAGAGAAAAAGGGCTCTTAATTTCTGGAAATTATTTTATTTGGGTAATTTCTGTTTATGTAGCTTAATGATGTATTATTGTTCTTATGCTCATTATATCTTTTACCTTGGAAATTCTAGATTCATGGTTTCAGGTTGGGTTCCTCCTCACTACTGGTATAAACAGTGCCTATGTATTGGGATATTCTGCGGCTGTGATGGTCCCTCTGGGCTGGATATTTGGTGTAATAGCTTTAATTGCAGCCACAGCAATATCACTTGATGCAAATATTCTTATCGCCAAGCTTCATGAATTTGGAGGCAAGAGGCGTATCCGATACAGGGATCTCGCTGGATATCTGTATGGTATGAGTAGAAAGGGAGAGAGCTAGAAATGTTTTTAGTAGAAATTATTTCCTCCTAGTTTGTGTATGATGGCTTATATTCAGACGCTAATCTGCTAGAATTGGTTTGTGGTTTTCTTTTATACAAGGAAGGAGAGCTTATTCTCTAACATGGGGATTGCAGTACGTCAATCTTTTCATGATTAACACTGGATATATCATTTTATCTGGCGAGGCATTAAAGGTTGTTCAAATTCTGGAAACAGGCTTTGTTATATTGATGACCTTCAAGAAATTTGTAGATTGGCTGATTTGATGTTGTTTACATTTGCAATGCAGGCTGCCTATGTTCTATACTTTAATGACAATGCTATGAAGCTTCCATACTTCATTGCCATAGCTGGGTTTGTATGTGCCTTGTTTGCCATAGGAATACCCCATCTCTCTGCTCTCGGGGTTTGGCTAGGAGTTTCGACATTCTGTTCCATGGTGTATATTATTATAGCAATTGTGCTGTCAGTTCAAGATGGTAAGTTCTGATCCTACAATGTTTGTGCCAAAATAGAATCAATTGTGCCCAGTCTTTGGTTTTAACATTAGCAAAAATCAAGAACTTCTTGAAGTCAAACCAATCAAAACTTATCATCAAGTGATGTAAGGTTAAACTTTGAAAAAGTGATCAGCTACATTAGCATCTTGGACAACATTGCCAATTTCAGACATCCGTTGGCGCTTGGTAACGAGATAATTTTATAATTAAAAGGCTCTCGTTTGTTTTATTCCACTAATTCTTTTGTTAAATTTTCAGTTGATCATAAACTTAGAATTGATATTGACATGCATATTATATCTTATAGATTATATGTAACATGTACAGTCATTCGGAACTTTGTTCACTTCTGACTTAAATTGGGCCAGTGATATACCTTTCTTTGTTTTTCTTGCTTGTTCAAGTTGATAATTTTGTGGTGTTGAAATGTTATTGATTGTCTCTGTACTGTCATAGGGATCAAAGCTCCACCGCGGGATTATAGCATCCCTGGATCAACTACGAGCAAAATCTTTACAACAATAGGGGCATGCGCTAGTGTTGTGTTTGCATTCAATACTGGAATGCTCCCAGAAATACAGGTAGGTCAACAATTCAAATAAGGAGTGTTTGCCAAAATAGATATCTGTCATTCAAAACAAAATAAAGAAGGTTAACTTATACGAAGGCTGGTTAGGGTATAATTTTTGTATACATTTCTGATACATATAATAGTATTTTTCTTGTCTTATGAGTAAATAGTGATAGCTTGAATTGTAGGGAAACTTCTAGTTACCTCTGACATCACATATAGTGGATATTGCTCTTGTGGTACTTTCCACAGGTACCAGGAGGTAGATGATTTGTAAATTTATGTCCTATATACATTTTCAATCTTTGCCTCCAAAACTTACCATTTCCCTTATAATTTTCTTGTATTAGGCGACAATAAGGCAGCCTGTCGTTGAGAACATGTTGAAATCTTTGTACTTTCAATTCTCAGTCGGAGTTCTACCATTATATGCTGTGACTTTCGTCGGCTACTGGGCGTATGGATCCAACACAACAACGTATTTGCTCAACAGTGTCAATGGTCCAGTTTGGATGAAGACTGCAGCCAATATTGCTGCTTTCCTGCAATCCGTCATTGCTTTGCATGTATTTATCCTTATTTGTGACTTTCACTTTTAAAAATCAATCTATTTTCTTCGGTTACTAATAACGTTCCTCCACATCTTGCAGATATTTGCAAGTCCAATGTACGAGTACTTGGATACAAGGTTTGGAATTAAAGGACGAGCACTGTCAGTTCGCAACTTATCATTCAGAATTGGAGTAAGAGGCGGCTACCTAACTATCAACACATTTGTTGCTGCACTTCTGCCATTCCTTGGTGATTTCATGAGCCTCACAGGGGCCATCAGTACATTCCCATTGACATTTATTCTTGCAAATCACATGTACCTTGTTGCAAAGAAGACCAAACTGTCTTCTTTAGGAAAGCTATGGCGTTGGTTCAATGTTTGTTTCTTTTGCTGCCTGGCCGTCACTGCAGCAATTGCTGCTTTGAGACTTATTGCTGTAGATTCAAAAACTTACAATCTCTTTGCTGATCTATAACTTGATTCATCTTCAAGTTTTTGTCGCTTATTTATAAACAATAGAATAATGTTTTACTTTATCTATTTTCTGGATCATCAAGTCTTTTACCTCCCAAATTCTACTTCAAAAGAATCGAATTTTCTGCCCAACATCTGTACTTGAACCAAACTTTATTGACTTAATATTCATGGCATAACTACACTGTTAATCTTACATTGTGGATTCTATTTCAACTACTGACGAATCAAGCAGACTTCATCTGCTTCAAGGATACGCCTAATTAAGCTACTTTGCATACAAAAAACTCATGGGTAGTTCAGCGGCAAAGGGTCTAAAGGCGAACTAAAGGGGTCGTGCATAGTTTAATTTACAGTCTCAGGTTTGATTTTTTATTAGATGTAAAGGTAATATCTCTATCCATGATTTACATGAGAGCTGCCGCGGTAGAGTTCAGTTACATAAACAGGATTTCTTTACTGCATTTTACTTGCTGCAAATATCATCATTCATAGCGAAATCAAACACAAATTTTACCCCCTGGTTTCGAAGAACAATCCAATTTTTTTATAAAATAAACAGGATATAAATTTAATTTATCCTTGTCACTATTGTTCGCAGTTGTGTGTATTTTATTCACTGTAAAAAGTTTTTGTAATTACAAATTCATGGTTATACTCTTTTAAAGGTTATTGTAATAATTTAACTAAATGACCATTTGGTCATATATTATATAATAACTTATGAAAAATAACAATTTGATAATTAATTGACCACTTTTGACCATCTAACTTAAGAAAAATAACCGTTTGATTGGTTCCATGACGCCATCTCATTCTCGTCTGGTGTAGGTATGAGACACAGCTCGGGTCGTCGTAAGCTCGAGTTCGACTCGAAAACAGTCGAGTCGAGCTCGAGCTCGAGCAGCTCATGAACAGTGAAGAACCGAGTTCGATCCGATCTGAGCTTGGCTCGTCGAGCTCACGAGATTAAACGAGCTTTGGGGTCAATTTGCAAGATTTCAAAAGTTGATTTTTAAGTTGTCAAAATTACAAACAACACCCATGCGATTCACAGAAAAAATAGATAGCTCAAACAAAAACTCAAAAGTGAAAACCCATTTCAAAGCTCAAACAAAAACTGGAAACCCATTTGGGATTTTTTCATTCAACCCTAAGTCCGAACTCTCCGCTGCCACTCGCCGTAAATCAGTCACTCACGAGTCACGCCGCCGTCGTGGACAAGTTCTCCGGTGCCATTCGCTGTCACCGACTCACCGAGCTTCTCCGGTGCCATTTGCTGTCCTGACTCCTGTCACCGTAAATCAGTAAGATTTAGTTTTGGTCCTCTGCGTTTGTCCTTAGAGCATTTATGAATGTAATGAATGGATTTTATTTTAGTTTTCCTTTTGAATCACAAATTATTATATACTTTGCTGAGGCTTTGATTGTCAGTTTCTTAAAGTTGAATCACAAATTATTAGATACTTTCCTTTATGATGTTTGTCAAATAGTGTACAACACATACAGTAGCGTGAAATGAAAAACCGACTGAAAAAGATTTCCTGCTGTCAACAAGCAAAGCATGTTTACTTAAATAAAATAGTTTCATCTGATATGGGCATTGATTCTTTAATAAAACAAACATGATTGTTTCTGTTAATTCCAAGCCTTACAACCTCACAAACATGTTGACGGACCAGCGCAGTGGACACTGTACAGTGACCACCCTCTGGTTGGTCCAAGCAAAAAGTTCACGGCCCCATAACTGTTGTTATACTTGCTACACCTCCCAACTACCCACTCAATTTACTGGGTTATTCTCTTCTTGCAAGTTAAGTTGGTTGATCACTGTAAATTTCTGAATACGTGAATTGGAGTCGCTAGTTTGGTAACTTTGGTTATCAGGTATAATTTCATTAATTCGTCCCATAATAACTAAAGGATTGTTGGCTTTATGTTGAATGTCCAGTATTTGTGGTTGTATATTTGCCTAAAACTTCAAACACGGGTGTATCTTTTCTTGATTGTAATGATTTGGGTAGTTTTGCTGATCAATTGAAAGATTTGATAAGTTGTGAGTTGTGACGGAAACCTGGAGTCCTGGACTTATTGACTGAAGATATGTTGAAGCAAGGAAATGAGAAAGAAGGGACCACTGATGTTTTGTTTGTCAATCATGGAAAGGCACATCCTAGTTTATTTTAACCGAAGTTGTGAGGCCTGTAAAAATCTAAACAGCTTTATTTTCTGACATTGTCATCTGGATTATGATTATGTGTTTGCTTATCTTCATTTGATTTCTTTGTTTTATTGTTTTATTGAGGATTCAAAATTAGAACTGCACCGAGCTCGAATTCAGGCTCGAGCTCGTTCAAGCTCGTTTAAGCTCGTTTGATCGAGCTCGAGCTCAAGTACAACTTCATACTCGCGAGCTCGAGCTCGAACACGCATATTGAAGCTTGATTGAGCTCGAGCTCGCTACTGTTCATCACGAGCCAAGCTCGAGTACCGAGATACTCGGCTTGTATACATCCCTAATCTGGTGGTTTCTGGCAAACCTTAACACCGTCTTCACCGTTCACTCGACTTTGGTTTTCATATCTGAAGAGATTAAAACATCAAAACGAAGCTCCCCTAGCTTCATTAGATTCTTACGCAGATATACCTTGCTATAACGTAAGTTTCAATCCTCTTTTTTCTCGGTGTTCTTTTTTTTATTTTTTAAATTTAAGTTTTCGATCTGGTATCTGATGAGACTGAAATGATCAGAGATGGATTTTTAAGGGACAATTTCTGATGGTTTCATTGTATCTTACATTCCATTGACATGGTTTTTTTTTTTTTTTTTTTCGTTTTTTGAAACTTTGTAATTAATGAATTCGGGTCATGTCTATATTCTACAAGTTTGCGGAACCTCCAAAAACAAGTTGGGTTTTTTTTTTTTTTTAAGTTAAAACTGTAATGGTTTCTCGTAAAATTATAATCTTGAAGAGTTCAGAAGATTTCACTGTTAAGCTACGCATTGAGGTAGAACTTATGTTTTTGTTGTTTGGATGTTCTGTTTTTGTTAAATTTCTTGATTGAATTGGTAATTGAGTTAGTACTGTTATCGTTCATTGCTTAAGTAATATTATTACTTGGATCTGGCTAATTAGAGAAGTTTTTACTTTTTAAATCATAGGTTAAACTATAAAGTCCGTGATTTTTCTGATTCTTCTTTAGAGATAGCAGTCTGTGAAGAATTGAAGGTCTTTTGATACTTTCAGTTACCATATAAACTTTGCTGAACTTGGAGTTCTTAGGGTATTCTAATCGTAATTAGAAATTATTGAGTATCATTTTGAGCAAACCATTTAGGTTGATGCATTTGTTATCTTATCTTATTTGAATTTTGACAGTGGAGTGTTTGGCTTCGATTGCAGTCCTGTTTAAGATTTTGAGCTACTTTTCTTGAAGGCTTTTCTGGTTGATGGTAAATAATGGCAAGAGTTAGAGATAGAACTGAGGATTTTAAAGATGCTGTGCGGCATACTGCTGTTTCTTTAGGTTATGATGAGGTATGTTTACTCTTTCAATTCATCAAATTGAAGTTGTTATTAAGATGTTTTATTTTTAGAAGTTATTTGGAAAATTTGAATTTTTTAAAAGGTTAAATTTTTATCACATTTACATTTTAAAAGAACTTTAAGAATAGAGTCGCCTATTATTGTTAAATGCAACATGTGTGAAGGTTAATTATGTTGGTGTTTCTGATTCATGCATTAAGATCATTGATCGTGGAGTTGTATTTTGCTATTTATCTTTGGTCTGTATTTTTCATATTCATTTTTTTATCTCAGTTCCTGATACCCTTGTTGCTGCAGAAATGTTAAGATTGATTTTCGTATACCCATTTGAGTTAATTCACTTGTGTATGGAAACTTATTATTGTTCATACTGCAATCATATGTTTGATACATTCTTGAATCCTAATTTCTTTTCCCTTGTGTGATTGCTTTTGATAGTCCAAATTGGCAGCCATAATGGCTTCTTTCATAATTCATAAACCTCGGCAAAGATCATCTTTTACCAAAGCTGCTCTCAAGACTGTAAGTTCACCACTGTCAACTTGCTGCCTTTTGATTTTATGGGAAGAATCGCAATTCCTTTACTTACTTTCTTCAAGAAATAAACAATTCCATGTTTTTGTGCGATCTATTTAGTTAACTATTTTTCCACCCTGTCAGCTTGAAAGCATTGGAGCTTTAGAACAGTTTATGTCGAAGCATCGAAAAGATTATGTGGATCTGCACCGTACAACTGAACAGGAAAGAGATAACATCGAGCATGAAGTAAGTTATGGGGCTTTCAGGGTGCTGATACAAACCTTTGATTTCTCAAGCTTGATATGAAATTGTCATTCTGTCTGCCTCCAAAAGTTCTTGCTTTATGTTTATTCAAGGATATAATGCATCTTTCATGAAACTGACCCTGCCTAAATGGAATGTACTGGGTTTTTTCTTGTAAACAAGTTGCATTCTCTCCACAATTGTTTGTTTTTCCTAAAACATTGACATTTATTCAAATTTATGCAGGTTACTGCTTTTATTAAAGCCTGCAAAGAGCAAATTGATATTCTAAAAAATAGCATAAATGATGATGAAGCAAACTCGAAGGGCTGGCTTGGTCTTAGAGCTGACAACTCCAATGCTGATACTATAGCTCACAAACATGGAGTGGTATGCTTGTGTTATTCTTTTTGCTTAATTGAGTTTATTCGTTAATTTTGAATTCTTATTATGTTTATTTGCTCTAAATTGTATCATATGTTAATTGAAATATGTTTTGTTTTAATCATAATATTGTTTCTTGCTTAAAATTGTGGGGGTACGTTTCACCTAACTCTGAGAACACATTAACTCTTCACAATTGGTTTTGCTATTTGAATTCATATGTTACCTTCATTGGTTTATATAGCATAACCTGCTTTGGAAACACAAGTTATGTGGTCTGTTTCCCTTCTAGAGTAGTGTAGTTTATATTGAGGAACCATGATCTTATGTGATTTCTGTCAAAAATAATCTTGTCTTTTAAGACATTGTTTGACTTATTACTTTTTTCTAATCCACAGGAAAATTTTATTCGCAGGTTCTGATTCTAAGTGAGAAACTTCATTCAGTCACTGCACGGTTCGATCAGCTCAGAGCCATCCGTTTCCAAGATGCTATCAATAGAGCGACACCAAGAAGAAAACTTAAACGTGTTGCCGATTCAAAGGCAGCAGATACCTCAAGATCAAACATTTCAGAGATCAGGGAGCTTGATGGACCTCAACCTGAATCTCTTAGTGTCCAGCAACAATTATTGGATGATGAAACACGTGCTCTTCAGGTAGTTTGAATTTTTTATCTGATAACTTTTCACAATCACAATGTTGTCAATTAAATGATTACCTAATAGCATTTATGTCCTTGTTAAATTGAATCTGCCTACTGTTATACTTATTGTGCAGGTAGAGTTGAGTAGTCTCCTTGATGCTGTTCAACAAACTGAAACTAAGATGGTTGAAATGTCTGCACTGAATCATCTCATGTCAACGCATGTTCTGCAACAAGCACAACAAATAGAGCTTCTTTATGACCAGGTCAGGATGGTTGTTTTTCAACTTCTGTTTCCATCAACACCAAATCACTTATCTCTGTCCATTTAGTGTTATCGTGAAATTGCTTGGAGTGGTGGATTAAATGGCAATTACAATCTACATTATAGTACCTGACTGCACATAACTCTAGTTGCATCCTAATGCTATAGTCAGATAAGATATTTGTCTTGAGGCACTGCTACAATATATCAATCATGCCTAAGGCATAAGCATTTTGTCGCATATTATTGACAGTGATTGTTACAATTCTCTTTTGGTTTGTCAATTAATTGGGGTTTCGGTGTATTTTTTTATAACTCTTTACATTTTCTCCTTAAATTTTCATATATACAGGCTGTCGAAGCTACAAAGAACGTAGAGCTTGGAAACAAAGAACTATCTCAAGCTATCCAGCGTAACAGCAGCAGCAGGACCTTTCTTTTGCTTTTCCTATTTGTACTTACTTTTTCAATCCTCTTTCTTGATTGGTATGGTTAAATTTTCTTATTTCATCACCCAAAAAAGTTACTTGTAGTTTTGACAGAGTAAAGAGAAAGAAAATAGATAAAAAAAAAAAAAAAAAAGAGTTCTGATAATATCTGTAACCCTGTTCTCTTTCAAGTTTCCCCTCAGTCGATTACTTCTTGTTTCTGACAGCTGAATTGAAGAGACTGAGAATTTAATACCATGTATTTATTCATCCATATTAACATATAAAGATGATTTTATAATTTCTCTTCTTATTTGAATAAAAAAAATTCTATAAAAAAATTCTACATCCGAATTCCGCAAAGGGGCCAATAGTTGATCAAACGATGAAATTACATTTCAATTTAACAAACAAACGATATCTTCTCTTCAGCCCAATTACAGTTTCTCTCAGGTTCTGAGTGTACTCAATATTGTACAAAGAAAACAGCAATATGAAAATGGAAATGATACGTGGGATCTTTACTGAAACCTTTTGATTTCTAACCCAGAATCAAAATTCTTCTTCTGCATATATATATATATATATATATATATATATATATATAGACATACACACACAGAGACAGATACTGATGCAACAGGCAGTAAGGATAATAACTTACGGATTCAGTTGATCACCAAGTTCGTCTTCTGTTAGTTCTGTATGAAATTGGTAAGTCTTTAGACTTGTCACATATACAACCAGGATAAGGGTTTGCGTAGAAACTCTCCTCCGTTCTTGGAGAATCTGCAATAGTTCTTAAATGTGGTGCTCCCATCCTGTCTTCATGTAAACTCTTAATCTTTGATTTAAATGATTCCCAAGATATCAAACCCTTGTCGTATTGATCAATCAATCTCACAAAATTCCATCTGCAACAACATTCAAACTAGTTTTAGAGATGGTTCATTTCATTTTTGTTCGAAAGATAAGTATATATATGTATTAGGATCTTCACATACTTGTCAGGGCAGATGGTTTTCCGGAAACCTTCGAATTCTCTTTGACCCTTTACGGCCTTGGCCATGTTACCATCGTATGTGTAAACAAAAACATCACTTTCAAGTGCTATAATATTGTCCAAGGCAGCAAGCTGATTCTGGCATTTCCTGAAAGGTTCTAATTCTTCTTCTGTAGCCAAATCGTAATGAGTTATTACATTTGGATACTTTGCTCTAAGTTCTTTAATCCCATTTTGACCATAAATGTCTCCTGCAACTATGTAGATGTTTGTATCGAAAGGAAATCCCATAGCTTCGAGGAAGACAGCAACCTCTCTAGGGGTCATGGGGCATACCCCATTGAGCCTTCTCTCTGTGCTATTGATCTCTTTTTCCTTCCAATGTTGAGTTTTATATCTTAATCTTCGCAGCTCCTCATCTTCCGCTTCTNGATAATATCTGTAACCCTGTTCTCTTTCAAGTTTCCCCTCAGTCGATTACTTCTTGTTTCTGACAGTTGAATTGAAGAGACTGAGAATTTAATACCATGTATTTATTCATCCATATTAACATATAAAGATGATTTTATAATTTCTCTTCTTATTTGAATAAAAAAAATTCTATAAAAAAATTCTACATCCGAATTCCGCAAAGGGGCCAATAGTTGATCAAACGATGAAATTACATTTCAATTTAATAAACAAAACGATATCTTCTCTTCAGCCCAATTACTGTTTCTCTCAGGTTCTGAGTGTACTTAATATTGTACAAAGAAAACAGCAATATGAAAATGGAAATGATACGTGGGATCTTTACTGAAACCTTTTGATTTCTAACCCAGAATCAAAATTCTTCTTCTGCATATATATATATATATATATATATATATATATATATAGACATACACACACAGAGACAGATACTGATGCAACAGGCAGTAAGGATAATAACTTACGGATTCAGTTGATCACCAAGTTCGTCTTCTGTTAGTTCTGTATGAAATTGGTAAGTCTTTAGACTTGTCACATATACAACCAGGATAAGGGTTTGCGTAGAAACTCTCCTCCGTTCTTGGAGAATCTGCAATAGTTCTTAAATGTGGTGCTCCCATCCTGTCTTCATGTAAACTCTTAATCTTTGATTTAAATGATTCCCAAGATATCAAACCCTTGTCGTATTGATCAATCAATCTCACAAAATTCCATCTGCAACAACATTCAAACTAGTTTTAGAGATGGTTCATTTCATTTTTGTTCGAAAGATAAGTATATATATGTATTAGGATCTTCACATACTTGTCAGGGCAGATGGTTTTCCGGAAACCTTCGAATTCTCTTTGACCCTTTACGGCCTTGGCCATGTTACCATCGTATGTGTAAACAAAAACATCACTTTCAAGTGCTATAATATTGTCCAAGGCAGCAAGCTGATTCTGGCATTTCCTGAAAGGTTCTAATTCTTCTTCTGTAGCCAAATCGTAATGAGTTATTACATTTGGATACTTTGCTCTAAGTTCTTTAATCCCATTTTGACCATAAATGTCTCCTGCAACTATGTAGATGTTTGTATCGAAAGGAAATCCCATAGCTTCGAGGAAGACAGCAACCTCTCTAGGGGTCATGGGGCATACCCCATTGAGCCTTCTCTCTGTGCTATTGATCTCTTTTTCCTTCCAATGTTGAGTTTTATATCTTAATCTTCGCAGCTCCTCATCTTCCGCTTCTGTGAGATTGTAACTGCAGCCTGTAAAAGAAAGCATGTCTTTTTCATATCTGCAAATTTTACACTTCCCAGTTAGCAAGATTAAATGACGAAAAGTATATAAAAATCAAACTTGTAATCAGCCAGATATTGTTAAATACCTCAAATGAAGAGCAACATAAGGAGAATTCATATTCTTTAGTCTTTCAACCAATATGTTTCCAAGCTCTACAATTCTGTCTGAGAAAGCGAGAGCCTGATACATTGCGCGGCAACGAAGCCTTTGGATTGAAATAGCAAGACCATTGTTAACAAGACGAGCATTAGTACGAGTAAACTTGATAACCCTGTATTCCTTGAATAGTGGAGCTATCTCTCCTCTATAATAACTAGCCTGCATAAAGTTAAACCATTGCTTTTAGATTTAGAAGAGATTATTGTGTAGTTTATATATGAGGATTTTTGAATTATTTCTGTAATGTGCATACTTTAGACCAAGAAACTGGGGCCATCTGAATGTGATTTACTGCTTCCAATTCTGGTGGGAGAGACTCCACGATGCTGATATCTTCTTTCAGTACTTCCATGAAATGCCTCCAGTTAAATACGTCCTTAAAATCGCTGTATCAATTCAAATCACAAATTTGTGAAATGGAAACAAGGAATCGAGTTAAAAACTCTTAATTTTTTTTTAAGATTGAGTTTGTGTTTTACAAATTCAGTAACTGAAAGCAAATTCTGCCTGGTTTTTTAGTCTGTAAAACAAAGAAACAACTTTTAAGAAATGAGAACGCACAGAACATTCATTATATTATACCTTGGGTCTGTCCAATAGGATTTGTGATCTAATGAAGGGAGAACCAAGGTGGCATTCATGATTTTTGCTATGGCAACCATATCGCTTATCTGAGATTGTCAATAAATTACATTTTGAAAAACTATAATATTTCAGAACCAATAAGAAAACAGAAACAAAAACAAAACTTACTCCAGTTTTCATTTGATTCAAGCCACCATTGGCATGAACCATTAGATAGCCATTTGTAGAAGTGTCGTCTCCTAAAGAGAAAACAGTGTTTGCAAGTCAGAAATACAGTAGGTGATTAAGCAAGCCAAGAATTTGAGAGTATAGTATAGAAGCTAAATATTTAGACTTACTTCTTTCAGCCCGAGATCGGTTAATGCATTGGTAATACTTGTCGCTACTAATCTTCGTCCAAATATTGTGATTCTGAACGACGAGAGAGATCAAAAAGCAAAACTAGGAAGGATCAGAAACTAACTTAAACAGCCATTACATTATTAAAGAACAAGACTTTAAATATATTAAATAGAGTCTTGTTATATGAAGCTAGAAGAAACACGAAGTATTTGATTAACCTAAGCTTCCCGCTGAAAAAAAATAAAATAAAATTGTAGGATTTTAATAGTTTTAATAGTTCTACATTGATTAAAAAAAAAAATTTCTCCTAAGGTTTAATGTCATACTGGTTTTTACAAGTTTCTCGCTCTAATCCTTCTAATAACATGAATTATCTTCACATAAAACATTTTGAACTTTTAACCCTAAAACCACTTATTAGGAACTCGGATTGGCCCGATCAGTTTGACCAGTTAGGTCAAGACTCGGGGCCTTCACCGATTTAATTAGCAAAGGCAGAAAACCGGCCCTCAAAATTACAAACACCCCTTGCTCCTTCCACTCACCCCCTCTCACATTCCGGCACTTTCTTCCTCATGCTGACATATTTAGATGCCTAAAATCACCCCCAAAACCTCCATTGGCCTCTTCGGCATCTCCCCACCAAAAAACCCAACACCCCCAACCTTGATTGCTCGTCGATTGCCATCGACCACCCTTAGGGTTTCGCGATTTTACTTTTTTCCTTCATTCCCAGCGCCGAAGATCACTCCCAACCCCTCCATTTGCCTCGTCAACATCTCCCCACCAAAACCCATCGTCACCTCTCTACAAGGGTGTTTTTGTTGGATTTCAAGCCTAAAGGGATTGATTTGTATTTATTGAGAGTGTACTTGCTATATTTTAAACCTACAGGATGTATGGTTAAACCGCCAATCAAACCGGTTAGACCGCCAATCAAACCAGTTAGACCGGTCAAACCGTGACGCAATCCCCTAATCAAATTGTCACACGGGTCGGGTTCCTAATTATTGCCTAAAATTAGATTAAATTAGACAAAAGGCTTTACATTTTCACGTAGGAGAAATCAGTAAACACATTTTGCATGGATTCTAGGTAATCAAAATATATTACGTAAAATGTCTAACCTGAAACTTCGACTTGGTGGATTCAAGAGCCATATTATTATTGTTTCTTTCCACAACCGTCTGTTGAATAACTTGAATCAGCACACGCTCAGATTTGAAGTCATGCAAAGTGTTCATCAAAGCCGATTTTGCAAGCACCAACGTGGAGAAAAACGCCACCAAAATCAATCCAAAAAGGCAACGGTCCATGCTAATTCTCATTGCAGGCCACAACGAACGTTCTTTCCTTCTGAAAAACGCATTATAATGTTTATACGGCGAGTAATTCCCTCCAAACTCTTCAGGTATTTCAGAAAATCGTCTTCTTTTGTATTTCATCATCCCGGGAGAAACACTCCCCGAGCTATTATGATCTGCAGAAGTGGCCATTAAGGCTATGCAGATTATACGTTGAAAGATTAAGAAATTAAATAATCCCTCCAGCTCCAAATTAATGGAGTTAATTTAATCTTTGAATATTTTTATCTATTTTTTATTTTTATATGAAAAATTTCTTGTTTGAATGGAAATGGAATGTAATAGGAGCGTAATATAAGGTGGGGTAGACAGACTTGTGTTGTGTTTGTTAAGGTTTTGGTTCTTTTAGAACAATTGGATGGTGCTAATAATGAGATAATACTAATTTAGTTGTAATATATGAGGCTTGGATATCTTAATTTGACAAGTTATAATGACTTGTATAACAAACAAAATCTTATTATCTTAATTTTAATTTCTTTTGTTCTACATATGTTGTTATAACCAATTTTCAAGGTTCAATTTTTTATTTTTTTATTTTTATTAAGCATTTGATAATTCATAATATTTTACAATATTATTATCATTTTATTTTAAAAAATATATTAATTTATTTTTTATTTAATCTTTAACTTCTTGTATTGTTTTCATTTACTACAATCAAAAAAATATATGTATTAGTTTTAAAATGAGATTTAGTTTTTATTCAACTACAAAATTAGTATTATCCAAAACAATTTATACACCAAACATAGTATAGTATAAAAACAATACAATACAATACAATATCCAATCAAACATCATATAATATTTTGTATAATACTATATAATGCAACACAATACTATACCATACAATACAATATAAACAGTATATTATAGTGTGTTAAACATGCCTTGAATAACTAATTCGATTATTCTTCTCTCTCTCTCTCTTTTTTTTTTTTTTTTTCCAAAATTAGGAGGTATAGGTATTTTTTTCTCCAATAAATATAAATTTTCGAATGATAAAAGTATGAAGAATATTGAAAACGTCAAGGTGCGTGCAAAGCTGCAAACTGGTATGGACACTCTGTTTCAAAAAATAATAAAGATAGGCTAACAAACACATCTCACAATTTTTTCTTAACAAATCGCACACGTGACAATTGAGTTGACAATTCCCACTAGAACAGTCACAAAATGATTTCGACTAGACTTAAGAAACGACCGCACCTTCATAAGGAACGACCGTTATGAAAGAGGAACGATTGTTCCTTGGATGAGGAATGGTCGTTCCATGGATGGAACGGCGACCATTCCATAGGAAGAAATTAATGACCATTCCTTAGGACAGAATGGCCATTCCACCTAAAGGAACGACCATTCTATGATGGACTGGCCATCCTTCCTACGGAATGGTCATTCCTTCCTTATGGAATTAATGGTCATTCTTTATACGATGAACGGCTGTTCATCCCTAAAGAATGGTTGTTCCTTATACGATGAACGGTTGTTTGTCCTTAAGGAATAGTCGTTCATGTTTAGTAAAAATTGTGATTTAACGTGGTAATGCCTACACAGTGTCACATTGGCGTTTGTGAAAGAAAGTTGTAAGATTTGTTTCTCAACGTAGTATTTCCTTTCAAAAAAATGTATTGAAATCTCTTTATGCATACATATCCGATGTGTGTACTAAGAAAATGGCTAATTTTGCCGATTTTCTCCATAATTTTAAATATGCCCTGAACTTTAGGAATTATCACTAAACTTCCCTAAATTTTCTCTAATATGCCCTAAACTTTTGGAATTATCATTGAATTCCCTAATCTTTCTCTAATTATTGACAACATCCCTCTCTATTTGGGATAATTAGCAAAATTAAACAAAATCATAAACCAAAGTACCAATACTTATGATTTATGAAGGACCCAGGAGGTCAATATCACTTAATAAGTCTGAAATCCAAAGCTGATTTGTATTACACTAAGGAGGCGTTTGGATCATATAATGTTTTATTATAGGGGTACATTATATTAACGGAAAGATCATCTCGAAGATTACTGGAAATGTTTAGAAAATGTGTTTGGTTGATTCGAATAAATTAATGAATAATATGTTTGATTGAGAGGATAAATGGGTGGGTATGTTATATAGATTACTAAATTGCCCTCCTTTTTAAATATTAATATAATAGTTTTTTATTATTATTTTTTGAACTATTTCTTTTAACTCCTTACATTTGAAATTTTGCTAAAACACCCCAGACATATAAAACTTTAATTTGTAGCAAAATCACCCCCACCCACCACAACCCATTGCCAGTAGCTAGCCACCACTGTCGGCAGTCGATGGAATGGAGCACGACTGGCTGCATATGGTCGGTCGTGCGCTAACAAAGCCAGAAAGGACCAGATGTATGGCCATTTCACAGCCAAAGATGTGGCCATGAAACAGTCATAGAAACACTAGATCTAGTCATTTCCGGCCTTGGATCTGTAATCCATAGTCGGAAAAGGCCTTACCAGTGCACGACTAACCAGATCTCCCCGATTGTGCACCATTACGGCGATTGGCAGTGGTGGGTCATGGTTGGCGGTGGTCTTGGGTGGCTAGGAGTATTTTGTTAACTTTTAAACTTTTTTTGTAGTTGGAGTGTTTTAGCTAATTTCTCAAATGTAGGAGGGCTAGGTAATTGTTATTTGGTAGACATTTGAGGGTAATTGTGTTCGAAATGGTTTTTAATTAATGGCAAAATAGGAAGAAAAAATCATATTACCTTGGTAATATTTTATAACACCTCCTAACAAGGTAATAAAATTACTCCCCATATTACCAACAATAAACACTATATGCAATAAAAAATTATAATAATATTTTATTGCTTATAAATCAAATACAAGAATCTTACAAAATGAACTAATATTACCTTTGTTATCTTATTTACCCCGATCCAAATGGCCCTAAAAGTTAGGGAAGTACAAAATTATTCCTAAAAAATAACGACTGTGTTTCTTTGAGAATATTCTTGGGCTTGAAATAGAGCCGAGCCCATATTTCAATTGTAGAAAGTAGAAACCATTGCTTAATGTTTATAGATCAAACTTACCGTCTATAAGCCCAGGTTCCCTCTATAAAATGCCAAGTATAAGAGGCTAGGGTTTTAGGTTTGTGTCTCTCGCTCGCAGTAAGCGCCTCAGCTCAGCTCAGTTCAGGTCACTTTCAGAGATCTTTAGCCACCGAGCCCAAAATGGTGAAGGGACGCCAAGGAGAGCGAGTCAGGTCTCTGATCTAACCCTAAACCCTAACCCTAGTTTTCGTTTAACCACCGTGAATCTTTATTTTTTTTCATTTCGATTTTTGAGGCTTTTTGTTATTATTCTTTGCAGACTCTATGTCAGAGGAACCATTCTCGGATACAAGAGGTAATCTTTTAATGACTTTCGATTTATCATGCAGTTACTGTTATCGTTTTTTACTTGGATTTTGACTTGCTTTGCTAGCAATAAGTTTGGTTCATTTAGATTAAGTAATGAAAGAATGCTAAATTTGAATTGATTTTTGTTTAATGAGTTACTAAGAAATTGAAAGCTTATCTTAGAGTTAGCTTCTGTTTGTATACAAGATAATGTTTTTTGGGTTTTTTTTTTAGTGAATGGTGTTTTTGTTTTACATTGTCTTGAAATATGAATGATATGTATTTGTATTGCTTTGATTTTTCTGCGTTGAGTTTTCTATCTTAGAGCTCTGTGTACATTTGGTTGCTAAGAACAATAACCACGAGAACTGGAATCAGCAAGTGTTGGGTATTCAATGTTCCATTTATTCGCTCAGTTTGCTTTTCAACTTCATGTTTTATGAAGTTTGTAGAAGAGAAATCTACTAGTGTTGGTTATTCTATGTTTCATTAATTAGCTCGGTTTTTGTATTATTATTTTTTATGAAGTTTCTTGGAAAATGGTATAGAGAATAATAACATTAGATATTTGCTCTTCAACTTAGTGTTGATTGTGGTTAAGTTTTTTTTTTTTTTTCTATTTTGTATAGGATAATAACAGTAGATATTTGCTTTTTGAACTTATTGCGTTGTGAAACTAATATGATCATGATTGTTAAGTTTTCTTTTTAATCTATTTTGTACAGAATAATTACATTAGATATTCACTCCTCAACTTCATGTTTCATGTAGTATATTATCGGGATTGGAGTTAGGTTACCTTTTTTTATTTTGTTGGGAAATAGCTTTTTCCTGTTCCTGCATTTCTTTTGCTGATGAAGTAAATGATTTGGACTTCTGTTTTACTGAATGGTTTTGGGTGGTTAGGTCAAAGGCAAACCAGTACCCAAACACCTCTTTGATCCAGATTGAGGGAGTTAACACCAAGGAAGATGTGGCATGGTATGCTGGAAAGCGCCTGGCTTACATTTACAAGGCTAAGGTGAAGCAGAACGGGTCACACTACCGTTGCATTTGGGGTAAGGTCACCAGGCCTCATGGTAACAGTGGTGTTGTTCGTGCCAAGTTCAAGTCCAACCTGCCCCCAAAGTCCATGGTATTGAAACCCTATTACTTTTCTAATTGTTATTTAATGTTATCCTGGATATTTGGTTTTTGATTTTTGGAGTCTTTTCCTATCTGTGCAGGGTGATAGAGTTAGGGTCTTTATGTACCCCAGCAACATCTAAGGTACTTTTACCATTTCTATATTTTCCATGAGGCATTTTTGTTAGGTATTAGGTTGGCATGTTCAATATGGGTTGTTGTTTCTTGGTATGATGTAATTTTGTTAGGCTTTATTTTGACAAATGTATGTGTTAGTTGCCTCCAAAATAAGGGTTTATGCTGCTGTTTTAGGTCAGTAAATTGTATCAAGTAGTTCTAATTTATCTCCTTTTTTATCATGCAGGTCCTCTCCAGTCTGTAGATGCCGGATTGAGTTGAGTGATGATTAGATGAAAAATGAATTTTATTTGTTTTTATAAGTTAAGGTTGAAATGTCTGTGTTTTGAGCAGAATCCTTTTTGGTTATTTAGGATGATAAATGGAACATTGTTTAAATTTACTAATGTCAGGATTTTTCACCCTATTTGTTTCTTGTATTTTGAATATTTGGGTGCTTGACATCTTATTGAATTAAAATCTAAATAGGTCTATTATCCGTGCATGCTTGCTTCTTTCCAATTCTGAAGTTGCTTATTATTTGCTGAGTCCAACGAGTTATAGAATTGTCGACTTTGAAATGTTGGTTTGGTTGTGGTACCATGAGATGAGTCCAATTTTATGATATTATGCATGCGCACCCATTTTATATGTGAAGGATTTTCTGCCTGATTTATGGTTTTGGACAAGTTTCGTCCCAGTTTCTATTGGTAGGTTGTGAGGTTGCCATAACGCTAATTTTTTTTTTCAAAATTTTGGTACCAAATAATAGTGGATGGTTAGATACTTCTTATTAACTACTCGACTTTCATGGATTTGAGCAATTTGTTTCATGTGGCATTTGTTTACCTTTGCTGACATTGCCTTCAATGTTTTGCTGATTATGGACAAAGACAAAGATTGAGGTTGAGCATAATTAAGGCTCCGTTTGGTTCATTATTGGGTAGTTTTTAGAGTAATATTTTTAAAAAAAGTTAAATTGGGTGGGTATTATGATATAGAATTTTAAAAATTAACAAAAATACTTCTTATGTTTATTTATTTATTAAACATTCCTATAATAAAATATTTAAAGTTAACAAAAATATATTTAATTCACTCATTAAATATGGACAGTTGGTCACTATCGTCGGAGGGTGGTCAGAGTAGTTGTATTGGTATATGACCGATTGGATTTTGTCGCTTGTGTGTTGATATGATCTTTTTCCATCAGATTCATCGTGAATTCGGTTGGAAAAAGTCAGATCTATGGTTAGATTCGGTCTTTGACGGCTAGATCTGGTCGCATACGAAGACCAAACATATGGTCGTCATTGACGACTATCAACGGCCAAAGAACGGTCAGATATTTGGTCATAGATTTGGCTTTCAGCCAGATCTATCTTGGATTTGGTCGAAAAAGACTAGATTGACACACTATCGGTCAGATTCAGTCAGTAGTGTGTCATTATACTAGATTTTGATCAGCTTTCGGTCGTGGTGGTCGGAATCTGGTAAATTTGGGTTGTTACTTGTTGGGGTATTTTTGTTAATTTTTTTAAAAAAAATAAAAGGTTGTTTTGTTAAATTAATAAATTTAGGCGTTTAAAAAATTTGAATAATTTAGAATTATATTTTAAAAATAGGTGAACCAAATACAAATTTTGTATTAACTTTATGAATAGTTTTCTCAAGATACGTACCAAAGGGAGCCTAAGTCTCTCTTTTATATTGATCAAATATGGGCTCCTCAATTAGGTCATCGAAGTGTTATTGCATTATTCTATACATTTATTTGAGGTCCAAGAGAAGGTGTCGGTGGCATGATGCCTTAAATTAAGTAATGGGTTGTAAGCTGGATGATATGACTTGTTGATGGACAAATGGGTTTATGATATTGTTTTAAATAATACAATATATGCTTCAAGCTTCATTGAAGGCCGGCTATAATTGTTTTTCAATACATCTAACTACTTTATTTTCACTTTTTAACCCTATGTCACGTTCATGAGGACCTTCTCGTTTTTCCCAAACAGGTTAAGATAAGAGTTTTCTTTTTTTTTTTTCTTTTCTTTCGTTCAATGAATCTATTAAATTACAAACGTGATTAGTGGTTATCTTGTGAGATTCGAACATACGATCTCTGAGAAATCTAAAGGTATCATTCAGACATAACCAAGTGATTAGATGTGGATTTTTTAAGATAACATTTTATTTATATATTATGATTTGTGTTTGATAAATTAAACCTCTTAAACTCTTTTTTTGCTAAAAAAGAAGAAACTTTCATCCAATTTAAGCAACTTTTATGGCAAGTAATCGCAACGTAAAGCACTCTCACACCTTGTACTAAACGTGTTTTCAGTTTTCACCTATTTTTTATGCTTAAAAAGTGTAACTCTCATTGGATGATTTCTTAAAAATAAAAATAAATGATGAAGTATTAGAAACGTTACCAAAATAAAGAGAACAGAAAAACGTTCAGTGGGATGAAGAAAGTGTGTTTGTTTTGTTATTTGAGTAGAAATTTAAAAAAAAATAAAGAAAATGTTTTGGGTTATTATATGTTTTAAAACGGTTTACAACAATACATGAAAGATAAAACACTAATTTTAATAGAAATTTCAAAAACGTTTTCAAGATATATTAGAAAAAATGGGGTTTACAAGATAATGCCAAACATGCCCTTATGGTCCCTATTAATAATTTCATATTTGAAATTGTTATGCCTGGAAAAGTAGGACTGATATAGAGCCCTATCAGCGTAAGTGGTCAGAGCCTAGGTAAGTCCAGCAGTCGTTCAGGTGCAGCCACGTTGCACGCTGACGCAAGAGGCGTGCTCCTGCCAGTGTAGTAGGTACGCGTCAGGCTGGTGAAAGGGTAGAGGTGATCCACGTGTCCAATCCCTGCAAGAATCGAGTAAATCACTCGAGCAGGTGAATAACGGGGCGCAAGGAAGGATTTGTACGGCAATCTGACCCACTCTCTGATTTAGTAATTATTATCTCAATTCATCTCACTATAAATAGAGAGCTCATCTCTCATTTGTGAGATTAGCTAATTTCTCTCCGGAATAGCATACATATTTTCTCTTTTTGTAACTTGTAAATCAGCTCACTGAACGTGACCTGATCTCAGTCACTTGTTTAAGTATCCGAACCAATTTAAATATTGTTCTCCATTTCTTATCCATTCTTATACCCCCATTCGCGTGTGTCTTATGAGTCAGCTCAATATTTTATACGTGTATTTAATTGGTATCAAAATCAAGCATCAACAGAAATTATCTTCGTTAAGTCAATTAAAAATGTTTAAAATACACATGAAATAATATATAATAATAGAAAAAGTAGGCAACGTGAATTGCATATCTCATGCTGTTATGTTGATGACAGGTGCGAAACATGTATTCTGTTATGCATACCAAAGTTTGACTTCCCAATCCGACACATAAATTAATTAATTAATTTTTGAGTTAACGATTTTTTTTCCTTCTCGAATAATGGCTTGATGGCAATTTCCCACACTATTAAAATATCATTTTATCACTTAAATTTATATTATGAGAACGAATTTTCAAGTTGTTAGGATTTTTGAAAAAATGAGACTGATAAGTCTTTTAGTGATAAAAAGTTGAATTTTAGTGCTTAAGATTGATTGAAATTTGACTTTAGAGGAGCAATTATACAAACTTTAATTGCTCGATTATTGGTGATTGACAGAGTTGCCAGTAGTAGGGTTTGAGGAGTTTTGGTGAGTGATGATCATAAAAGAAACTGGTGGTATTGTAGAGTCGCAACTATGCCAAAATCAGAAACAGAATATAAATTTGGATAGTAAAATAGTATTTTAAAAGTCTGTGGATAAGAAAATATCATTAACCCATTATTTGAGTGAGAAAAAGTCATTAACTCTTAATTTCTTGGCAAGAAAAATTGGAAGAAAATAACTAGCGAATGGATCAAATTTTAGGCACATTATAAATGCATAAATAATAACAAAGTCAAAATTAGGTAAAAATTGTGGTAAAAGTTTTGCCGCACGTTGTGGCTGAATTACTACAGAAAGAATTAGGCAAAAGGGCAGGAGCAGCCTTTGCCTTTGACAAATCTTAACACGAGATTTGAAAGAGCTTATGGACCGGTCTAAAACCAGCTTTTGACAATTCTAACTTTCTTGTTTTTTTTTTAATTATTATTATTATTTTTAGAATAACACTACACCAATAATATTTTCACACAAACTTTCTCTCACAACCTTAACGTGACAGTTCGTAATTAGTTAATTCATAACTGATTTCACATAGGTCCCACTAATTAATTGCGAGCTGATCAATTACAAACTGTTATATTAGGATTGTAAAAGAAAGTTTGTGAGAGAAGGATATTGATGTAGTATTACTTTTTTTTTTTTTTGGTTAAATTCTTAACATAAATCAAATTTATTAAAAAAAAAAAAAACCCATAGAGTCAATTATTTTCCAAATTAATGGGGATCCCTAATTCCCCATACTTTGTACTTCAGTCAAACATAAAATTTATCAAGATTTTGCCACGTAATTAATATGAATGTATTGACTTGATGTATATGAGGTGTATTTAATATTTTTAATATAAGGTCACATCAACCAAAAATACTAAAGTACCGAAGAGGCTCATCCATTAATTAATTTAATATAAACTTTTCATAAGATTAATGTAATTTTAATCATCAAAATTACCAAATTAATTTGAAAGTTTAAGACAACAACAAGAATCTAACCAAAAAAATAAAAAAAAAACCAAATAAAAGAAGAAATTGAGAATCAAAGACAATGACTAAAACCTTTTGATTAGTTCATGGATCATCAAGATGGACGGATGAGATTGAAAACAGAAGCCATGATACGATACGGTCGGTCCCAACATGATGAATAAGTTGGGTCCCATTAAAAAGGGATACTCTTCGCATGATCCAATATTCTAGACCTGGAATTTTAATCGCATGGGCCAGATTCATACAATCTGATTAAATAATATTTAAGGCTGCGTTTGGACGCAACTTACACCCTAATTTTAATTTCTTCCTAGACATTGGATTAAAAGTCAAACATCCCTTAATTTAATAATCTATAATTGATTATTAATTTAGTATTGTTGGGTAGCTTTTTCTACCTCAATTAAATTACATTACTCCCTTTCTATATTTATTAATCAACTTTAAATCCTGCATTTAATAATCTATAATTAATTGTTTTTTATTAATTTGGTATTATTGGGTAGATTTTTCTACCTCAATTAAAATACATTACTCCCTTTCTATATATATTAATCATTTAATAATTTATAATTGATTATTAATGTGGTATTATTGGGTGGAATTTTTCTTGCACAATTAAATTACATAACTCCCTTTCTATATATATATCAACTTTAAATCTTGCATTTAATAATCCATAACTGATAATTAATTATTTGTTTATTAATTTAGTATTACTGGGTGGATTTTTCTAGTACAATTAAATTGCATTACACCCTTTCTAAATTTATTAATCAACTTTAAATCTTTTATTTATTAATTAATAAATCATTAATTAACCCACCTGAGATTGAACTGGAAAAGTAAAAAAAATCTACTTTCCTTACGGTGCACACCTCCACATCATCCACAGTACTAATATAAATATATCTATAAAATAAAAATAAAAACTACAAAATCCGGATCCGGATCCGAATACGAATACGAATACGAATACGAGACGAGCACAACATAAACACAACTCTTTCTTTCACGCGTTTACCTTCTATCAGCTTTAATTAAATCTCTATTTCTCTGAAACTTCGTTTCTTTCTTTGGGTATTTGCAGAGCCACATTCTTCTTCTTCTTCAGTCTAGATCCGTCATGAACTCTGTTCAACGTTACCTAGATCCACTTCTTAACTCTACATCTCAACGCACCTGATCCCTTTTCGCAAAAAATCTCATTTCTCCGATCACCGACGATTTATTTTATTATTTTATTATTTTAATTTTGTTTTTAAAATTGTTTGAAGATGAAGAGTTCGAGCAAATTTTTCACGTTTGGGTTGGTGGCGTCATGGTATTCGTCGAACATAGGAGTTCTGTTACTGAATAAGTACTTGTTAAGTAACTATGGGTTCAAGTACCCGATCTTTTTGACCATGTGTCACATGACGGCTTGTTCTTTGTTAAGTTACATCGCCATTGCGTGGATGAAGATGGTTCCTATGCAAACTATCCGATCTCGGCTTCAATTTCTCAAAATCTCGGCTTTGTCTTTCGTGTTTTGTATCTCCGTTGTTTTTGGGAATGTATCGTTGAGGTTCCTACCGGTTTCTTTTAATCAGGCTATTGGTGCTACGACGCCATTTTTCACTGCTGTTTTCGCCTACTTGATGACGTTTAAGCGTGAGGCTTGGCTCACTTATGTCACCCTCATTCCTGTTGTTACTGGTGTTATCATCGCTAGCGGGGTATGTATTTAAATGCTTTTTTATTTTTTTATTTTATTTTTGTTTGTTTGTTTGTTTGTTGAGTTATTGGTGTGTTTTGATTGCTGGGTTTTTGTTTAATTGAGTAATTTGGGTTTTTGTTTATGGGGTGGGTTGAAATTGAGCTCCTTTGGTGTAATTTGGGTTTGTTTCAGGGCTTGATGAAAATTGGGATCTTTTTAAAGGTTTCTGGTGGTTGATGAAATAATATTAGACCTAGAATGAACTCAAATTAACTTAATGTAGTTAGTTTTTTTTTTTTTTTTTTTTTTTTTTTNACCATTTGGTCATTATTATATAATAACTTATGAAAAATAACAATTTGATAATTAATTGACCACTTTTGACCATCTAACTTAAGAAAAATAACCGTTTGATTGGTTCCATGACGCCATCTCATTCTCGTCTGGTGTAGGTATGAGACACAGCTCGGGTCGTCGTAAGCTCGAGTTCGACTCGAAAACAGTCGAGTCGAGCTCGAGCTCGAGCAGCTCATGAACAGTGAAGAACCGAGTTCGATCCGATCTGAGCTTGGCTCGTCGAGCTCACGAGATTAAACGAGCTTTGGGGTCAATTTGCAAGATTTCAAAAGTTGATTTTTAAGTTGTCAAAATTACAAACAACACCCATGCGATTCACAGAAAAAATAGATAGCTCAAACAAAAACTCAAAAGTGAAAACCCATTTCAAAGCTCAAACAAAAACTGGAAACCCATTTGGGATTTTTTCATTCAACCCTAAGTCCGAACTCTCCGCTGCCACTCGCCGTAAATCAGTCACTCACGAGTCACGCCGCCGTCGTGGACAAGTTCTCCGGTGCCATTCGCTGTCACCGACTCACCGAGCTTCTCCGGTGCCATTTGCTGTCCTGACTCCTGTCACCGTAAATCAGTAAGATTTAGTTTTGGTCCTCTGCGTTTGTCCTTAGAGCATTTATGAATGTAATGAATGGATTTTATTTTAGTTTTCCTTTTGAATCACAAATTATTATATACTTTGCTGAGGCTTTGATTGTCAGTTTCTTAAAGTTGAATCACAAATTATTAGATACTTTCCTTTATGATGTTNTGTTTATTGAGTTATTGGTGTGTTTTGATTGCTGGGTTTTTGTTTAATTGAGTAATTTGGGTTTTTGTTTATGGGGTGGGTTGAAATCGAGCTTCTTTGGTGTAATTTGGGTTCTTTGTTTCAGGGCTTGATGAAAATTGGGATCTTTTTAAAGGTTTCTGGTGGTTGGTGAAATAATATTAGACCTAGAATGAACTCAAATTAGCTTAATGTAGTTGGTTTTTTTTTTTTTTTTTTTTTTTTTGGAAACTGGATGAATATCAAATTCGAAGTGGAAACCAATTGTTTTGTTGCATCAATTGGGTGACTTTACTTCAATTTAATAATCATAATTTTTAGCTTTGTTGATTTGGGTTGTAAGTATAATATGGTAAGTCTTTAAAATTTTTGTATACAAAATGAAAACAAGTCTATTCTATTTTACAATTAGTTTGGTTTTTAGCTAGATGCAACTCTAACCCGTTGATGATTTGAAGTTTTGTGTCGATAAAGTGATCTCATTTGTTAAGTATTCTGCTTCTAATTGTTTTTATTGTTTTTTATGTGAGTTTAGGGTGAACCAAGTTTCCATTTGTTTGGATTTATAATGTGCATTGCGGCAACAGCTGCCAGGGCACTTAAATCAGTGCTACAGGGAATTTTACTTTCTTCTGAAGGGTAAGGAATCTCTGTTATTTGTTTCTAGTTGACTGCATGAGTTCTTGGTGCTATGTTTCAAGTAATTAGGAAATTAGAAAAGGGTATTGAAAAACGTGTAATTTTGTTTTTAGGGAGAAGCTGAATTCCATGAACCTCCTTCTATACATGGCTCCAATAGCTGTCGTGTTTCTACTCCCTGCAACACTTATAATGGAAAAAAACGTGGTTGGTATTACACTCGCTCTTGCTAGAGATGATGTCAAGATCATCTGGTATCTACTATTCAATTCGGCACTAGCTTATTTCGTAAATCTGACCAACTTTTTGGTCACAAAACATACCAGTGCTCTGACTCTCCAGGTATGCCTCATTTCTGTATTTATTCTTTGACAACACATTTGTTATTCTTGCATTTCTTTCAATGTTTAGACCTAATAACTCAATGTCATTCCTTAGTTCTGAAAATATAAGCAAGTTCACAAACGTAACTAGACGAGAAATTTCCATGATTAATAATCAATAGACAACTTAAAGCTGGTTATAAACCTGCGATCATTCTGAGTGGATATGCTTTTGGGGTAATAGGAGTATAGGGCCCCAGTAGTGGTAACAAAAAGGACAGTAAGGGAACCATGGTGGGGGTTCTTCTTGGATTTGTTGTCTTGGTTAAATTTGGATTGTTTTATTGTTTTGAGATGGAGTACCTACTCAAAGTTAATGGTCATATCTGTGTACGGTATCCATATTCATAATCGAGATATTTTTTTTTTTGGGGGGGGGAGGGGAGAGAGGGGGGAAGGGGATGTTGTCTCTGGATATATTGCTTCAGGAGAGGATGCATCTAGTTTTGATATCTTCTGTTGGCTTTGAGGTTGTGAAATTTCTTTCTGTTGTGTTGGCATGCCTTGAGTGGTGCTGAAAACTGTTGGATGTTATTCCCTTGACTGTAACCTTGGGTGTATGCACGGAGGTGGTCAGTGAGCAATTTTAGTGACACAGGTTTTGCTTTTGGTTTTCAAAGTTCTGCTTCTGTTTTCACTTATGTTGCTTTTGGAAAGAGTGGGACAGGTTGATGTTGGAAGATAAGCTATATTTTTTTGTAGTTGGAATAGGACATTCAGATAAATTGCTGTATGTTCTAAGCGTAGCAACAAGGATGACATGGAAATAGATCATTTCAGATTGTTTGGCTGTCTGCAAGGAAAAACGAATTGTTGCACATGGAGGAGATTTTTTATTAAAATTGTAGGCTCAAGGATAAGAGATAGTCCAAAGTGTGCCCTCCTTTAACATAAAATTACCCTTACATTCACACTTCAAGTTTTACCAGCTTGGTTATCTTTGTTGTAATTTTTTATGTTATAAAACTTGAAGGTCGAGCAATCTAACTGATTTGCTTAGAAGAGTTCTACAATCTTGGAATTGTAGTTTTACTCTTTAAGAGGTGGTGTCTCAAACCCTCTAACGTATTTTTCATTTTGTTATCATGTTTATTATTCTTTTAAATCTAGTTCTTTGCTGCTTATCATTGCAGATTTTGTCTTGATACATTCAAACGATAATTCTTTCTTGCTCATTTCTTCACTTTTTCTCAAGTATTTCATAACATATACATATGTTTATGTGATGATATTAAAAGCTTTTGGCTTGTCCAGGTACTAGAAATGCAAAGGGGGCAGGGGCCGTGGTGTGTCAATTTTGATATTTAGAAATCCCGTATCTGTAACGGAATGCTTGGTTACACACATGACAGTATTTGGAGTAATCCTCTTAGTGAAGCAAAGAACGAGCAAGACAACATGAAGGAAAATAATATGTGCAATCATCATAAATTGTTCCCGCAGTGCCAGGAGAGAGGCAAACCTTCCTGGAGGGCAAAGTTGGGGTGCATGTGGGCTGTGGTGGTGTTGGATTTTGCCCAGTTAAAGTCTATTTTTTTTCCCCGGAAACCTGAGACTTTGGTTTCCATTTTGTATCAGCAACAAGCGCAGGTTAGACAAAAGTAAAAAAAATCCAATAAAAAGGGACTGATTTGTCTCTGTTTAGCCCGACTTGGGGTTGTAGACAAAGATTGTTTTACCTTTTTAATTCTTTCAGTAAAGATTTGTAGAATGGGTCTCTACACCATAAGTCTGTTATTAACATTTGTCATATTGATTAATCAATGAAAGTTACCTATATTTCACCATTCTGTGTTTCATTTTGTTGATGCTTCAAAAGTTTTCTTCTTGTTTTGCAATTTTGTAGTTTGGAAGACCATTTTTTTAGTTACTACAAACCAACAGGCACAAAGAAAGAACATATGAATTAAACAAACCCACCAAATTTTGTGATATTTCAATGGGTTTTGAGTGTTGAAACCAAGCAGCTACCCGTGATCACTAAAGTTAAAATTTGATTACACTTAAACAATTCTCACTTATAAGGAACCAAGAGTGCTCAAGTTGGGATCATCCTGTACCTGTTCCAGGCTGTTTGAAACTGTGGCCTTTACATCTAGTGAATGCAGGAAGGGAAAAATAAAGCTAGATTCTTTTGGACCCATATGAAAATTATTTTCTTTAAAAAGGAAAAAGAAAAGGATTCTTACTGTTGTAGAGAATTAGCATCTGAAGAAATCTGTCCTGATTTCTTCACGAGCTCTTCTCATTGCTGCCTCCTGTACAATTTGGTAAGTTCATCCACCAATCTGAGGCCAAAATATGAGAGGGTGTTTAGAAACTGAGAAAAAGAAAAAGAGTCCAAAAAATTGGATGTCAAGTGATAAAAATAAATGCTTAAAACATAGTCACAAGCTGGGAAAATGGTAGATCCTTAAAACTCCGATCAAGAATTGTTTTAACAAATTGGTGGAAGGAGGATGACACAAATATGTTTTGAATAGGAAATGAGAGTGGCTTCTTGCAGAAATTTAAACCCATATTATGTCTCTGTGTTGAAAAACTTTCACGAATAATTTATATGTCTCCATAATGACATTGAATCACCTAAAGAAAAGTCATTTTTTTCATGGAAGTAGTTTTCAAGACCTAAAAAGTCCCAACAGATTGAACATCTAAAACCTTCACGGAACTGGGTTAGGAGAACAAAAGCAATGAGCGACAGAAATAATAATAATAATAATAAAATTCTAAGTATGCCAACAATGAAAAAAATAAAGAAATGAACAAAAGTTTCAGCATTTAAAGTGAATCAACTCTTCTGTTGATTTTTAATAATGCTCTCAATACTTGTTTAAGCAGCCGCAGTTTAGAATCTCAGAGTTACCCACATCATACTTTCATTTAATTGTTTCACAAATATACATAGCTGTACTAGTTTACCAGTTCACTTGCTCAAATGCTGTGTACATGATGATATATTCTAATTCTGATCACGCAAACTCTCAAATCCACCAAACTCCTAGATGAGGATAACTTAATCACCTGTCAACATATGGTGTGTTCCTTATCCACGTCAATTTTATAAGAGTCTGAAGCCGCTTGAGAACCTGCACAATAAATTCAAAAATAATTTAACAAACCTAAAATATAAAAACGTACCAATAACACTAGTGGCAGCAAAAATCATTCATTTGCCACGGTAAAAAGATGTAAGATAAAAGCACAAATAATTAGACTTTAATTATGCCAAGTGTTTCTGACAACACTGATACAAGTTCAGTTAAAAGTAAATGTTATTCAATAGAAAAAACTTTTAAATCTTCCAATCCAGCTAGTTACATGTTCAGAAACACATAAAAAGCAGAAAGCCAAAGATAATCTCTATCATATTCCATTCGGAAGTACAATCCAAAATTATGGTCTTTGCAGAGCAAAAAGCCAAACTTGAAAGCTATATAATCTGGCATCAAAACAATAACAGCAGCTATTTCAAATGTAAAATACTATTACTAATGTTTGAAGTTTGATGCTTGATCATGGAGTTCATCAATTAGCACACAAAGTGCATCAGGAGGCACGACACACAAAGTGCATCAGGAGGCACGTTTATTTTACAAAGTAAGTATAAAAGGTTCACATAACTTTTTAAACTTCAAACTGTTGAGCAACGGAGGGAGAAAAAAAAAAAGAAAACTTCTTGAATCAGAAGATGCATAGTTCTCACCAGTGACACAGTTTCATCATCATCAGCATGCATCCATTTGAAGAAAAGTGGAAATATACGACTAAAATGAGCCAGTAAAACAAGGCCAAGAGCACTGAAAAGTGGCTCAATATATTTTAGCCATGCTACATATCGGTCCTTATTTCTTGGCTGGCGCTCCAAGTGACTAAGCATCTCATTCAGTATCCTTTCAAACCTATACAAAAAAGAAATATAATTTACAAAAGCTACCAATGTTGACAGGAAAAAGATGCTGTAAACTTAAAATTGATGGACAATTAGAAACTCATGGTTGACAAGATCAAGCCATACATCAAATATCATGAAGCAGCATTACTTTCCATTGTCAATCTCAATCAGCAATTTGGAATTCCAATGCATGAATACAGGATAACTCATAGTTGCAGTACACAAGTACATTTTCTGCTGTTTAAGGGAATCAAAACCTAGCCTATCATAAGCTCCTTGCCGATCTACAAATAAAAACTACAGTGAAGTATCTAAGGCCCTGGAGATCTCTGATGCACCTTTGGCCAGTCACAGCATGGAAACTAACTATATATTCAGGTTAAACTCAAAATGTAGAAGAACTCTCTAAATTTATGTCACCCAAAAGATTTTAACCATATTGAAACATAAAAAGCGTCCCTGCCCCTGGAAAGAGGTCATAAATGCACATCCATTTGTGATCCCAATCGGTTACCACCCCATAAAATAAAAAACTACAAAATCAGGATATGCAATAAAAAAATTATCAAAAGCAAAACAAAGATAAACAAGTATACCATGAGCTACGGCAATTACTTCTCTGTGTACTAGTCACAAGAAGTACTGACATCTCAACTACAAGGTGCCATATCTCGTCAGCTGAAGCAATATTTTGACAGCAAGCATCAAGAATCACATCTTCGTACAAACTAAGATCCACAACATTCACATTTTTTGCAAGATGTATAAATACAATCATGCCCTGCGCCTGAAATTATTTTAAAAAGTGTATCATTTAACAATTAGCAAATGATTACAAAAGCCATATCATATAACATATTAATAAAAGCACATACTTTGACCTCCGGTGACCAGTGGTCAAGCGTGGTCAATGCACAAGGAATCACCAAATTACAGAACTTCCCCAAATCAGGATGCTCCACCTACAAAAATTAAAACATCACCTCTTAAAAAACAAAGTTAAAGAAAAATCTGAAACCGCACAAGAAATTTTCTTTGAATACAATTCTAAGATACAATGAACTTCATGAGAACAAGTCAAAATGTTCCCAAAAAAAGTTTTCAGATACAATTCTTTAAAACTAGCATAACATCAGAAAATGTAAAAAATTAAAGTGTTTTATCTGTTTCCGATAGTCTTTTAATTGTGAACACTATTTTCAGATATTAAATTTAAATACAACTCAGATTTTTGAAGTGTTTCTAACGTTTTCAAACCTGAGTAACCAACCATCGGAACTGATAAGCCGCCAAAATCGCGAGAACAACCGGAACCCGAGCCGAAGCGGCGGTTACTTGATCACTCTCATTATCTATATCAATCGAACTCTCTTTAATCCTCTCCTTCAAAAGCGGCACCACTTCTGGCAACAACTCAACAAAACAGCCGTACTCGTTCGCAATAGCATGAAAAACCGACTCAGCAGTTACTGAAATGTGTTCGGGGATCCATGTGAGAGATTCGTGAGTTGAAGTCCGAGAGGAGATCAGAAGACCAAGCGCTAGAGTCACATTTTTGAGTTTTTGCTCATTCGGTGCCGTTTCAATGTCAAGGAGAGTGCATAAAATTGATTTTACGGACACGGTGGCGTCCTGTGGCGGTGTGTAGTTTGTTTTCTTCAGTGAGTCCAGTATCGGATTTGTTAACCTAAAAATTTAAAAAAATTAACACAGAAATTTAGTTATGAGTTCATTTTAGAAAAAGAGACAATTGCGAAGAGATATGAGAGAGAGCTTACCGAGGGAGACGGTCATGAAGAGCTGAGTGCGATTTCGACATTTCCGGACTCAGTCGAACTCGAAGAATTGTCGAGTTATTTTCGCTTCAGTAATTTGTAAAAACGACCACTTTCTTTCTATTTACATGAAGGAAAAAAAAAAAAAAAAAACAAAGTGGTTATTTTACGAAGTGGTCATTTTTTAAATTGCTTTAGGTTAGACTAGTTAGTTTCGCTCGCTTTTCTTGTTTAAATGAAACCGGGAAATCAGTTATGAAACGGAGTCAAGGCAGCTGTTGATTTTTACTCAATATAGGGAATTAAGATTGTNTCCGGACTCAGTCGAACTCGAAGAATTGTCGAGTTATTTTCGCTTCAGTAATTTGTAAAAACGACCACTTTCTTTCTATTTACATGAAGGAAAAAAAAAAAGAAAAAACAAAGTGGTTATTTTACGAAGTGGTCATTTTTTAAATTGCTTTAGGTTAGACTAGTTAGTTTCGCTCGCTTTTCTTGTTCAAATGAAACCGGGAAATCAGTTATGAAACGGAGTCAAGGCAGCTGTTGATTTTTACTCAATATAGGGAATTAAGATTGTGCATAAATGAAATTGAATGATTCATAAAACCCATTTACTGTAACATGATCTAATTGTCATCTCATTAATGAAATTAGGTAGTTAAATTTAGCTTCCAAAGAACTCTATTTTCCTAAATGATATAACAAACCAGAATTATATGGGTGAAAAAAACTGGTAAACCAAACCGGTTTAGACATTTTTCAAACCAAACCGAAAAACCGATTGCAAAATCCAAACCAAAACTTAACCGGATTACTGCTTAAACCGATTTTAAATCGAACCGAATATTCATTGTCGGAAACATTGAGGGGCAATCTCAAAAATGTTTTAAGACAATACGGTGCAATAAAAAATAAGAGATGAGAATAAAGATTTCGCCATTGATGTTGAACTGTAAAAGCTGAAAACAAAAACCCCAAAGCCTGACCATATTTTCTTTTGAAGATCAAGGACTGCAAATGGTCATTCTCATAACTGCGGAAATGCACAATCCCATAATCGTTAATCACAACAAAATGCCCAACACAGATGAGCAAAAACGAATAGAGGAACCATAGGTTTATTAGTTCCCCTCAACAATAATCAGAGGGATCAAAAGGAAACCACACCGACAAACAGAACAAAGCCACACCAAATAGATAATAGAAAGCGGTTGCATGTTCAAGCTTCTGGAACTGAGGCTGCTGCACGCTTCATTGATGCAGACTTGATAAGATGGTTGTAGCTACCTTTCTCCTTGAACAGCTGAGAAAAGTGATGTTTACAATACAAAATGCCCTCAAGGGCTGCATAATTTGATGGGCTTAAGGAACAACCACCATGAGAGCACTTAAAACATGTCTTGTGATAGGCTTGGCTCTCCACCGCTACCTGATGATTTTTGACACATGAAATCCATATTAAAACTATATGCTTTGAAGGTGTATGTACAAATAAGATATTATTGAATGTTTTAATATCTGTGACAACACATTACAATAGATACAAGCAGAACGATCTGATCCCAACAAATTATTAGCATTTTGCTTTGAAGTTACAAACTAATGAGGCCTTAAGACTCCTGTAACATATATCTACGTAAAACTAAGTAAACGCTTCCAGATTAATCTTTTTCTGCCCAACAGTTTTCCAAACAGAATATACAGACAATCATACTCCCATTGTCCTTCAAAGTCAACTTTACACAAAACTAATGTAGACAGATTAGCTAGCACCGAGGTTGTGTGAGGCCGACACACTTGAGTACCTCAATTTGTAACTAGGAATTTGTAAGCATAGAACAATACCTACATCTAGTAGGTTATGATATAAACTGTAACTCCTTGGAAAGATAAAGCAAAAGGGGAGCAATGGAACACAGGCTCTGCAATTGGAAAAAAATGTAACTTTCTACACAGAAAGTTACAATTTGATGACTTTTAAAATCCTGGGACCCTACCTTCTCCAGTGGATAGACCGTTTTGCCGCAAGTAGCACATTTTTCTTGTGTCCCAGAGAACATGCTGGCAGCTTTGCTAGGTGACCTTGTCTGAAATTAACACAAACTATTGGGAATCAGCAAGACCTCAAGTGACATACGACATATCTTAGAATGATTTACGCCAGTAATAATAATCCTTTTTAAAAGATACTTCAACCGAATTTCAAATATGTTCAATGTAGTACGGAAGATTTACCAGTTCAGGAGTTAACTTCTCAGCTGACTTTGCAGCTGTCAACAATGAAACCGATAGCTAATTAAACAGGTAAAACAAAACTGTCAAGAAATCACACAAAGAGCTTCTTCATCTTGAAAACAAGATACATACGTGACTGAAAATTCTTGTTGAAACTACCAGTCTCCTTGAATAGCTGCTCAAAATGAGGCTTACAGTAAAGTACACCTTCCATGGAGGAGTAGTTGCTCAGCTGAAAACATTCAAATTTCCCACCTTAATAAACACAAAACTAGATAATAAAAAACAAACCATACCATCAACAAATCTACATGCATAGTACATTTCAAATTAATCAAATCAGGGTTCAGAAACCATGAATGAATTTAATCAACTTTAACATCATTAAACCTATTAGAACCTAAAAAAAAAAAAGAAAATCTTTCAAAGTAAACCAACATAATTTCATTACATAAACCAACTTTGGCCTAATAATTTTTTACTTATTATAAATAATATCAACTAAAGGAGTAGCAAAATAACCACGAACATACATAAAAAATAGTACCTTTAATGTCCCTTTGCAATGTGAACACTTGAAACAAGATTTATGGTAAACAACCCCATCTGCAGATAATTGTTCAACTGGATAAACTGTCTTCTCGCAAACCTTGCACTTCTGTTGGGTACCGGTAAAAGACATAGCTACTATGAATAATGCCTTAGATCTGACTCTTCTGTGTCTCCCTCAAAATCTAAAACACGTAAGACCCATTTTTTAAACATCAAATCCCGTAAGCAACCGATCTGAAGCTTCTTTTAAATAATAATAATAATAATAATAAAAAGATAATCCACAACAAATTTTATCTACTAATGTCAAAACAAACTTAAAAAAAATACAAAGTAGGAAGATTCGTTTGGTCAAAGAAATGTACCTCGAAGAAAGCTTGGATCTCGGAAGAAGTCTAAACAAAAAAATTGTGAAAAAAACAAGACAAAACCCAGATGGGGGAGTCAAAGTTTGAAAGAGGTTTAAAGGAGAAAAGAGAGAAATGGGACAGAAGAGCGTGGTATCGGGACGCTTTTTGCAGGCAAAGAAATGGATTGGTGATGATGATGATGATGATGATGAGAGAGAGAGAGAGAGAGAGAGAGAGAGAGAGAGAGAATTGAAATAAATAAATAAAAACATAAAAATATCTTATTCGCTGGAAACACTTTGTCTCGTTCAACCAACCAATGAAACTACGCGTCTATGATGGGGCTATTTACATTAATTTATATTAAAATTTATCTTAATTTTTTAAATTTAATTAATTTATTAATTCAATTAACTTAATTAAAAGGGTGTTTCATTTATTTCAAATATAATTTTTTGAACCATTCTGTAATCTATATATAAAATTGATAGCGTGAATTCCATTATCAAAATTTGGGTATCGAATCCATAATTTAAAAAGGATTAAATTTAAAAATTAATTAAATAAAATCTCAAATCATAGATTATATGAAATATTCGTGTTGCAAAATATTATTTAGAATAATAATTAATAAGGATGGTGGCGCACCCAAAGATTTCTATTCTATGTTGCCATTGTCACGTTGGTCATAGATTATAATTTATGAAAAAAATAGTAAAATTAAAAATTTTTAACTACATAATTAATATAAAATTAAAGGTCATAAAATTAATCAAATTAACTTTAAGAATAATATTATACCAATAATTATCTTTTATAAACTTTCTCTTATAATTATGATGTAATAACTCATAATTAATCAATTCATAATTAATCTTATATGAGTTTTATAAATTAATTATGAGTTGATTAATTACAAAAAAAACCTTTAAAAATTGCTTGAAAAATTTTATGGAAAAAAATGTTGTTAATTTTGTAATTCTCTTTTAACTTTTAACTTTAACTTTAAAAAGGGTGATGATGATTTCTGAATTTATTAGGAGGGCCCTACACCACATCAGTGCTAACGGTGGCCCAAATCAATATTGTGGCTGACTGTGACGGTAACTTCTGATTTCGATGTGAAGTTATCAAGTCTCTTTAGAGATTTTAATTGTGTTTAACCTTTATGAAATAATCCTAATTGGGCTACTAAAGAGCCCATGGGCCTGCCCCCAAGAGAGCCCAAGAAAAATATCTATGGTGAATTTCACTATTAACTTTTTTATTTTTTTAATAATTGAGATATTCAGACACAATTATTAACATTCTACAAGTTTAATAGACTAAAATAATTCCATAAAACACTCTTCAAGTCCAATAGACCAAGATAATTATACAAATATGGTAAGTATCTCTCCTGCGACTTGAACACTAGACCGCTGAATATATGTATTTCATCATTTAAGTTTGAGGTATGTTCACCTTGCCCCAATACTATGGGATGCAAACACTTGAATCCTTTCATATGACTGATGTTAGTACTGTTGTTGGTCTATTTTCTTAACAATGTAAGGGTAAATTTGACATATTGACAGCATGTACAGTGTTAAGTTATTTCAATTATGTGATAGATCTAGTGCAAAATGTAGCAAACCCCAAAACTCAGGGACGAACTGGGAGTGTATGGCGATAATAATTACCTGTATTGTGGCATGAACTGGGAGTGTATGGCGATAATAATTACCTGTATTGTGGCATGAACTGGGAGTGTATGGTAGTAATTATAAAGTAAATGAACCACAACCAATACCCTATTCTCATTATTGGAGACCTTAATATCGTTACTTGGCATATTTATGAACTGGGAGTGTATGGTAGTAATTATAAAGTAAATGAACCACAACCAATACCCTATTCTCATTATTGGAGACCTTAATATCGTTACTTGGCATATTTTTGTCACACATTGCTTTTCTAGCCTATTTAATCCTTCCTGTAAGCCAATAAAGCTGAGCAAAGCAAAGTTTTTGTTTTGAAAGAAAGAGGTGATTAAAGGAAGAGAAAATTGCAAGAAATTTAGGGGATGACGAAGTTGGGAAGGAAGAAGAATGAGTTGTTCAACAAACAAAAATAATTCCTTCCCAAGATCGCTCATTCTAATGATTTCTTCTTCCTTCCTCTCCCTGCCCATTACAAGAGTCTTCTCATACTTGAAATCTGTGATGCACATGACAACAGTTTTCTCATACTTGAAATCTATAATATGCACAATGAGCTCTATCTATTCACAACTTTCAACCTTTACTTTTCATAATCATGAAATTAGTCTCTTTCCAAATTATATCAGATGCACATATTTTAATTTGTAAAGTTATATATTTATAAATATGGATTAAATGAGAGGTCTATTGTCAAATTATTCAAATTCACATATTTCAATTCAAATGCATATTGTGTTGAAACTATCGCCAAATCAACAAAATATTAAGTTGAAAGTAAAAAGACAATTAATTTTTACCTTGTTCTTCCCAAATTCAAACACTACTTCAACATTCAAGATAGAGAATTTTATTGAGTTTTCATAATCTACAGCAATACAAATACTATCATGTTCACCCCCCTCTCTTCTTTTTCAATATTTTTCTCTCATAGGTTTTCCACTATTACAATACATGTAAAATGAGCAATAGTAAACCTAAATCACATTTGGGTTAAACTGTTCTAGACTCAAATCTTTACAAACCAATTCCAAACCTAATTACTAATTGGACTTACCGTGTGCGTGACCCTCGAGTGCAACAACGTTTGTCAATAATCCGTTGACCTCGTGTAAAGTATCAACCACATTCAACAATTTGGGCATCAGGATACACTTGAGTCATTTCCAGTTTGGCTGAAACCTTATATACGTCGTGGTGTTAAGGATGTTGATGGTGATGGAAATTGTGGAGTTATACAGTCTTATTTTGGTTATTACAATAAAATATTTCACAACTATTATGATGACTATAGACCGATATGTGGTGACTATCTTGAAGGCACTTGTAACTTTGGATCAAAGGAGATCTTATTTTCCCTCTCATCTTTTGAGCCAAATCCGAAATATTTTCATCAACCATACCTCATATCTGTTATCTCGTAGCTTCAAAATATAACGTTGTGTTACTCTTATTATCTTCCACTTTATGTCTTACTTTCCTACCTGTTCTACCATCAAATTCCAATCACAAAATTATTGCAATCGGATCTATCGGTGTTTATGCATCCAAATTCGCCTATAACTCTGATATCATGCAACTAGTTCAAATACCATATTTCACATGCGAAAGATTGGGCATATTCATATATTGCTAAATGTTATGTTGGTATCAAAGTCCTATATCAATTAGAAGACAAAAGCTTTGATGTTTATATAACACAAGTACACCCTTATTACCCAGAAGCGCATTTTCAGGACAAAACTGTATAAATCCTAGGGTTCAAATCAAATAATACTTTTGGGAACTCATCTACTATATGTCTAGATCTGACATATATCAACGCGTTAAATAGTTCATTGTTTCTTGTCGTCATTACTTTTGTTTTATTTCATATAGTATTTCAATTATTGTAAAGCTAGTAAACATGCTCAACAAGTGCAAACGTTTGCTGAAAATAATTTTCAAATTATCAAAATTTTGCTTTCAAAAACAAGATCTTCAAATTGTTCTACGGTTCCCTTTATGCTTACTTTATAGATGTAAATGGAGGCTATACATGGTGGATGGATATGGCACTTGATTATTTAATCACCCCATGCCAAAAGGGTTTATGTAAGTTATTTATCAAAATTTGATGGAACTACATATATGCATCCATTAATTTATTAGAATCATATAGAATTAATAACACTGATGATGCCAAAATTATTAAAATAATACTTAATTATATAGTTAGTTAAAGGAAGCTAGGCCCAGCTCATCCTGTGGACTGTACCTGTACTGTCCCTCAGCTTATGATTGCGTGGATGGTCCAGATTAAACTTTGGAACATCACATGATTGATGGATACTGACCGTTGAGATCAACAACCAACGAACTCTCCCGCCAAACCTAACAGAAATTACCTCCGCTATGTTGCTCTAAAATACACTCACCTGTAATTTCACAATTCACACACAAACAAGTTTCTCTCTCTCTCTCTCTCTCTCTCTCTCTCAATTAGCAAGAAACCAAGAAAGTAAATCAACCATGGCGTCTTTTTTCTTCACTTTCTCTCTTGTTTTCCAGCTCTCTCTTTTCCATGGAAGCTCCTCGCTTACCACCATCGGCATCACCTACACATCACCCACCACCACTACTGCCGCCAATGCGCCGCCACTGCCGCCGGAACGTATTGCTTCCACTGTTACCTCTCTAAACTTCCAGGCAGTTTGCCTCCCTGGGGCTGATCCTTCAATAATCCGAGCCTTCGCTTACACAAACACCTCCCTTCTCCTCTCCATCCCCAACATTCTGGTCCCACCGTTAGCCTCGAATAGCTCTTTAGCTCTCGGGTGGCTCTACCGTCACGTACTTCCTTTTTACCCGCGCTCAAGAATCTCTTTAATCTTAGTTGGGAACGACGTCTTCGATTCGACCCCGGATTTCTCACCTTTTCTTCTCCCCGCCATGAGAAATGTCTATTTAGCCCTCTGTGATCTCGGCATTAATAAGGTTCTGGTTTCTACAACCTTCTCCTTCTATAACATAATTACGATGTCGTTTCCGCCATCTTCGGCGCGGTTTGAAGAACCGGCGGGGAGTCTTGTTCTGAAGCCTTTGCTTCAGTTCTTGGATGATACAAACTCGTCCTTTTTGGTGAATCTTTATCCGTACAACATGTACAGGCTCTACAGTGAGATACCCCTAGGGTTTGCTCTGTTTCAAGATTTCCCTTTTAATTTCAGGGACGATTTGGTGACTGGCGTGAGGTATAAGAATCTTTTTGACATGATGGCGGACTCGGTTGTTAGCGCCATGGCGGTGGCCGGCCACGTGAACACCCTTATCATTGTGGCGAAGACTGGATGGCCGAGCTCAGGTGCTGATAGTGGTGAGGTGGAAGCCACTCGGGGTTATGCTGAGATGTACTTGAAGGGTTTGGTGGCGCATTTGAGATATGGGTTGGGTATGTCGTTGAGAAAAGAAGGGATTGCTGAGGTGTACATTTACGAATTGGTTGACAAAGAAGGGAAAGGTAACATAAGTTGGGGGATTTTGCATCAGAATTTGACTAAGAAGTACAAGGTTGAGTTCTCTGGTGGGTTCAAGATTGGTAGATTTGGAGGCTTATTGATGTTTGTGGCGGTTCATTTCTCAATTTTGCTCTGTATTTAGAAGCTCCACTCTGTTTGATCATTGAAGTTTGATTAATGGGGCTTTTTAGTTTTCGTGTGATCTGTTTTACTCACTGTTTAGGATATTTTTTCAGATTTGAGGTTTAATTCAAGAACCATTCTGATGCCCAATTGCATTGTACATTGTGTTTGATAGTTGTGTTTGAGGATCGTCAAATTGTTGGCAGTTTTGTATTGTACTTGAGTTTGCCTCTAGAAACAGACGATGTAAACATCAATTACAGTTTTGATGAATAAAATTTAGTGTTCATTTGTCACTTTGGATGAGAGTTCATGTGTTCATGTGCTTTTGTTTGTTTATTCATTTTCTGACAGAACTGGCAAAAATGGCTGAAGTGTGTGAGGTTATGCCACAAAATGGCTCAAAAGAGTGAAAGATGTTAAGAACTGGCAACTGGGTGATGCAGAATTGCATATGCTGTTCATGTGTTACTGAATGAGATATTGAGAGTGCAATTGTGTTTCTGATTTAATTTTCTGCCTTGCTCGTATAATATCTGGTTCTACGTTATGGCTTAAGTTTAAGTGTGTAATTAGCTTCAAGTTGGCAAATAAAATGTGGCTAAATTAAGACTGGGTGCTTTGTAGCTGAGTTTGTTCATAATTCTAATCAACTAGCCAATCGCTAATGATTGCTAATTTTACTGATATTTCTTTCAATTTCATGTTATTTTGCTACATATCGAAAATAACGAAGCCAAGTAATATAACACTTTTTTTTGGGTAATTAAGTTGTCTGAGTGAGTTTGTGCACACCTCGATTAATTTTTTAGGTCCATTAAACACTTTACAAGTTTAAAAGACCAGTTAAATCACAAATATGATAGATGACTTCAAGATTGAAACCCAAGAATTCAATAAAAAAATAAACATTCTTGACCATTAGGCTAGTTCCTGATAGTTTAAGTAATATAACACTCCCATGCTCTTCATCCAACTCTTTTCATGACATGAATTTCATTTTTTAAAATGTAATTAGGGTTTATAATTTAAACTTAAAAGGTGAAAAAAATAATAATAAAGGGTTTATTATTTTGGTAACTAATTCATAATTTTCTATTCTAGCCTTCTAGGTCCTTTGTAAAACGTAAACCTCCTTTCATTCATTGCGTTTGCATGTCAATGTACTAGTAACGTTTGCATGGCTAGCCTACTGGCTGAAACGGTATCTGGTCTCCAATTAAGACACGTGACCAAACTTTATTTTATTAATTATAATTTTCTCTAAAATTCTATACCTTCTGTTATGCCAAAAAATACATTGAGATAAGAATCACCGATCAAAATGAGTTGTCTATCCCATCTATTAAAGTTCAATAAGAGCTACATGATAAAATAACATTAGCTATAAAAATCAAACCGACTTAAGTTGTTATTAAGAGTATTTATATTAATCATATCCAATTTTAAGATAAGGATTAAAGAAGGGTCCATATGTATCTCCATTAGGGGTGGGCAAAAAATAGGGTAGAATCGGAACGTTGGGTACCCGGGTTTCAATTTCGGTTCTTACCTAGAATCGGTTGCCACAAGATAGGTTTTGGTTCCAAAAAAAGGGAACCGACATTATACAGTTCCAGTTTCGATTCCTACAAGAAGAAATCGAGAATCAGAAACCGATACTTAGATGAAATTTTGTGAAAATATGAAGGCTTTTACGATATTTTATGCTTCAAATAAAAAAATAAAAAAAGAGTTATAAATCCAATTCGTTCTTTAATAAGAGTGTCATGCATGGACGCGGTGGTGTTGTTCCCACGGAAATCATGATCTGATTTGTGTGCACTTCAATTCCCTTTTAATTTTTATTCCCTTGCAATTCTTTTTTTCACCTACTCTAACAAGTAACCCCCCGCCTAAATTAATTCAACTTCAATTAAATTCCATTAACTATTATTATATACCTACATTTACTAGTCATAGTATTGCTGATAATATATGCCAAAAATTACAATTCATTTAAAATATATGGGAGATAAAATATATTTATTAGAGTAAAGAATTTTCATGTGCTATTTTCATAAATTTTTTAGTCATAGTATCATGTTATTGTAATTGTGTCATTTAAAATGTTATGTAATTTTAATTTTGGGAGGATGTAAATTGATATGTTATTAACTTATTATGTGATGTTATTGTGTTATTTAATGTGTTATGTAATTTTAATTTTGGAAGGTTGAAATGGATATTGGAATAGTTGTAATTTTTGTAAAGTTTGCAGGGTGTATTTGTCATTTTAGAAAACTATTGGGGTGTATTGTAATTTTTTAAAAGGGGGTAATTGATATTTGCCTAGGTACTCAGAACTGGAACCGGAAGCGATGTTCCAAATCAAAGGAGCCAATCGATTTCGGTTCCTTCAAAAAGGGATGGGTACCCGGAACTGCCCACCTCTAGTCTCCACAACTTGCAAAAACACTGTTACATTGAGCTCAAAGATATAAATAAACACATTTCTTTATAGAAAAGGGGAGCTGGGCATATGAGAGCTGGGTATATATTTGAGCTTCAACCATTATTTTTCTCTATAAACAAAGCATTACACCATCTTTGTATGCCTCATAGGCGTTATAAAAAAACTAGTTAGAGAATAATAAAATAACAGTGGATGTAGGATTCGCTTTAAGTATCTGAACCACTATAAAAATCTCTCTTGTCAATCTTATATTTATGTTTCTTCAAACATATATCACCACTGCATCATAATCAACTCGCATAATCATTTCACGTGTAATTTCTAAGAATCTCTTAGCATTTTGCACGTGCGAAGTCGTTGGTGTTAAAATCAAGTATCAACAGTTTGGCGGTAGAAGGAGGCCTGATTCACATTAGCTCTCCATGTTTTTTCCAGCAAGTTTTAACTTCTTCAGCAAATTTCAGCTTCTTTTTCTAGAATCACGTTATCTGATGACAAAATCTTAGTAGGATAAAGTTTGAATCTGGCAAAGTGGTAGTAACAAGAATTGTATCCCTCCGAGTTAGCTTTCCGATGGTCTAAGAATCATCCAAATCCGAGATCTACAGCTCAAGTTATCGTCAAAATACTGGAGCTTGTTTTAGATTAGAGCTCTCTAACTCTCAAGCTCTCTAGCTCCCAAGCTCTCGAGCTCTCAAGTTCTCTAGCACCCAAGCTCTCAAGCTCTCAAGCTCTCTAGCTCAAGCTCTCGAGCTCTCAAGCTCTCTAGCTCAAGCTCTCGAGCTCAAGCTTTCGAGCTCTCTAGCTCTCGAGCTCCCAAGTTCTCAAGCTCCCAACCTTCAAGCTCTCTAGCTGAAGCTCTCGAATCACACGCTTAGATCCTTTAGACCTTGAGTTCTCAGATCAAGCCACGTGTTTTTTAATAAAACTTCTTCTGTTCTTAGATTAAGCCACGCGCTTTCTGATCGAACTCTTTAAGTTCTCAGATCAAGCCACACGCTTTTTGATCAAACTTCTTCTGTTTTTAGATCAAGCCATGTGCTTTCTGATTGAACTTTTTCTGTTCTCAGATCAAGCCACACATTTTCTGATCAAACTTCTTCTATTCTCATATCAAACCTCTTTTCGCTTTCTAATTGAGCCTATGAGCTCCCTTATTCGCTTGAGATTGCGCGGTCGAGATCACGCTCCTTATCCTAAGATCATGCGCTTCAAATTGTTCAAATCGCACGCCTCAAGTTCTCAGATCGAGCCCCTATCAAATCGCGATCAGCTCTTAGCTCTCAAATCACGCTTAAATCTCAACTCTGAGATTGCGAATAACCACAGATCGTGATCAGCTTCGGATCACTCCTAGCTCTCAAATCACAGTCCTAGCTTTCATATCGTTATAGCATATCAAGATCTCAACACCCGATCACACCAAGTGTAATTCGATCTCTTTAGTTTGAGACTGCAGCCTATAGCGCAACAGCCATTCAGATCAAAGACATGAGTTTTAAAGCACGATTACGCACTCCAAAAACTAAAGGGCTTCTGTTATGCCAAAAAATACACTAACATCAACACCACCAATCAAAATGAGCTGCCAGTCCCATTAATTAAAGTTCAACAAGAGCTAAAGGACAAAATTTAGCTGTCAAAACCAAACCGACCTAAGCTGTTATTAAGAGCATTTATATCAACCTATCCCATTTTAAGATCAGGATTAAGGAGGGGTCCCCACGTGTTCCCACAATTTGCAAAAACACTCATTACATTGAGTTCAAAGGTATAAATAGACATCTCTCTTTATGAAAAAGGGGGGCTAGGCATATAAGAGCTGGGTATATATTTGAGCTTCAACCATTATTTTTCTTTGTAAACAAAGCATTACACCATCTTTGTACGCCTCACAAGCGATATCAGAAAAATAGTCAGAGAATAATAAAATAACAATTGATGTAGGATTCGCATTAAGCATCTGAACCATTATAAAAATTTCTCTTGTCAACATTTTATTTATGTTTCTTCAAAAATATATCACCACTACATCGTAATCAACTCTCATAATTATTTAATGTATAATTTCTAAGAATCTCTTAGCATTTTGCACGTGCGAAGTCATTGATGTCAAAATCAAGTATCAAAACCTTCTATTCCTTTACACTTGGGATTCCAACTTATATTAAAGAACTCTGCCGTCGACATCCATAACTCTTTGTACAATCAATATCTCTCATAGAGCTTCGTCACGAAATTCCACCATCAACATCTGTCTCATAACTCTAAAACTGTTTGTTTCAATCTTTAATTTGAGTTGCAATAACATACTATGAGTGTGCCTTTGCATAATTATGGCTCAACATTATGGCTAAGTGTGTGATTATAGAAAAACACATACTACAAGCGGGGGAGCTCATCAAACGACGAAACTATAAGTATCTATGATACATAGCATAACGTACACAAGTTTTTCTCTAATAATTATCTCTATTCCCAACAATTTTATGAATAATTTCATCTTATTGTGCTACATATAACAATGCTAGAGACTTCATTAATTATTTTAGAGAACCGCAAAT